GCTCTGGTTTGTAAAGGGCTTCAAGCTTGTGTTGGAAATAATTCCTTTCTCACAATCTCACTTTCTAACAATTCATCCAAATAATGTCCCTCGTGAACTAAAGCACATTTTCCTAAAGTATAAAGAATATATATTACTCTCCGGTTGAAACTAAACAGAAACTTTCCTATTAATTGACAACAACAGCACATTTATCATTTACTTTATGTTCAGTTTGACACTGATCATGGATTCTATAGTTTCTCTAATTTATTGCAAAAAGGATTGTGGATTTTGAAAAGTTGATAGAAAAGCCAGAGATAAACCAGACTGAACTTTCTGTAAAATTTAAAGTTTTTAGGTGAAACAAACTTGAAATTACAAAGAATTGAGCACAACTGTAAATTCAGTGGTTCCACTCCCCGGCAGCAGACTGTGGATGTTTCTGCTCTGAAACAAGAGGTAAATAATGGAGGTTTGTTCTGTGCAGCTCAGATCGATATATATTGACGGGGCAGAGGTCGGGGGCAGTCACCATCAAACTGCCCCGCGCTGTGGGCGTGGCCGGACACTTGGGAGATGAGGGGGGGGGGGGCGAGTGTGTCACCGGCACTTGAATGAATTCAACCGTCCACCGAGTTCCACCGAGCTCTGATGACACGGCAGTTTATCCTGCACACGAAGTCCAGCCGGTCAATAGCAGCAGATTAGAAAAGCTCATCTCACCTTAGTGTGGTTTATCTTAGCTTAGCCCGGGTTAGATGAGTCTGGCTGTTAAATGTTCAGCTGATKCATGGACGAGATGCACTTCAACATGAGCTTTGATTTTCACTGGAAGTGAAATGAGATTTCAGACAACTGTTATGTAAAATGACAGTAGAGCTGCTGCTGCGCTGCTCTGTTAGTGTGTCACACACAGAAAGTCTGGTCCATTGATCTGTGTGTGTGTGTGTGTGTGTGTGTGTGTGTGTGTGTGTGTGTGTGTGTGTGTGTGTGTGACCTGTTTGTGCAGCAGAGTGTGAGGCCAGCGGATGCTGTTTCGGGGTCACTGCTAGTGTGGGACTAAATGGACCAGTCCAGGAGCTGTGCTTGTCACCAGTGGCCGCCCACTCTCTGTCAGTACGACTGCTGTCACATCACCACTGGGTCATACAGAGCAAACTCCCTTTGATACAGCTTGACTCTGATGGATTGCCACCATTGGCCTGTGCTGTCTCTTTGCAGCAGAGAAATTCTGCTCTGGATTCTCTGTGAAGCCGCTCGGCTCAAAACACATGTTGGAAATGTCACATCTCAGACTGAGCGCGAGTCATTTTGACATTTTTTGGTGAAATTTTTTTCTTCTTCTTTTGTTCGGCATAAAACTGATTTGTCCTGTTTCCCTGAACAGCCCCAGAATTTGCAGGCATCAGTTTTATGGAGCAGAATGGTACAAATATGTGGTTAAAGGATTGTACACTGTACGGTCTGTGTATTTCACATTTTCTCATACTGTTGCTCCCACTTTCTTTTTAATAATTTGCTATAATATTAGACAGTAAAATAATCTGAGAAGTTCATCTTTGTCAGAAGAAACTCTGAACTGATAGAGTCGTGTGTTCGACATGCATTAACTAAATTGCTCTTTGGTGTGAAGTTCAGCGAGCGACTGGATGTGAATCCAGAACTGATCCTTATGTTTTGGGATAAACACTGGACCGTTTCCCTGGTGAGGCGGCCTGGAGCGAGCTGTTAGTTCTTTATGGTTCAGACAGATTCCTTCTTCACCGCTGAGGCAATCTGTTTGAATTAAATGGATAACACTCATCATTCGCCATTTGGCTGAAGTGCAACTGCAAACTCACGACTGTAGAGTCCACTGTGCCAGAGCGTCTGTGGGCTGAATGGTCTCATTGGCAGCGTCTGAGTGTCTGGAACTGTGACCTTGAAGCAGTTTTCTGTTAGGATCACAGTTGGACTGAACGTACAGAGAAAATAAAAAAAAAACTTTCATCTATGGGTGAATTCTGCAGGATTTAAAACCAGGATTAAAATTGTTCTTGTAAATGTCACAAACCTCTCTTCCCAGGGTTCTCATTGCTATTATTGATCCTATTATTATTGTTTTTTGTCATTTGATCAGTTTCAGTCATGTGTAACTCTGTTTTAATCTAACGAAGCAGTAATTACAGACAATCACAGTGGGGGGGCAAAGTCTGAGCAGCTGTGTCAGGTTTTGATCTCAGACCTTCTTTAAACACATATTGATTTTTGTCTTAGTCAAACTCGAATTTGTGCCTAATCGCAATAAACTGTGTATGTGGGCTGAAGTATTAGGACTCAGGGAAGTGTGTGTGTATGTGTGTGTCTGTGTGTGTGTGCATGTGTCCGTGTAAGTGTGTATTGATGTCATCCTGTCCCTCGGGGGGACATCAGTGGGTTGTGTGGATTTTGCAACCTCTGGACTCCTTTCTTGGTTCAGTGGACGCTCTGTCTACCACGACTGTGCTCCTCCAGAGAGCCTTCATCCCTTAATACACACACACACACACCACACACACACACACACACACATTATGGCGGAAAATGTCACAGTCTTTCTCTGGTGAAGTTTCATTCTCTGTCTTCATGAAGGTCAAATATTTGTAGAAACGTCTCCTACACCCAACACGACACTGACTTCAGTCGTGACACAAGGAAACGCAAACTTCAGCCGTGATACAACAACAAAAATCCCTCAACGGTTCAGTCTCGACTTGTCATCTTCTTCCTGATCCTGTCAGTATCCAGCACCTGCATGTACTTTAATTGTGTGTACAACACAAGCAGAATGGATTTCTCTCTCTCTCTCTCTCTCTCTCTCTCTCTCTCTCTCTCTCTCTCACTGTTGTCTTGTTTGTCTCAGTGAGGCAGGAAGATCAGAAAAGACGCACACACACACTTACACACACAAGCACACACTCTCCACAGTGTACTGCACTCTGCATGGAAACAATGGGTTTGTCAGTGAAGCAGCTGTCTCGATCTCTTCCTTGAGTTTGCCATTCACTCTGATTCTCTCCTGCACCCAGAAACTGGCAGAGGATACTCATTATTTTACCTCTCTGTTGTTGTTGTCATTCTGGGAGTGTGTCCATGCATGTGTGTGTGTGTGTGCGTGCGTGTGTGTGTGTGTGTGTGTGTGTGTGTGTGTGTGTGTGTGTGTTAAAAGTGGGCAATTACAGTGCAGCTCTTGTAGAAAGCCAAACCTTTCTATAATGAGGAGATCTCCTTAAGCACGACATGCTGTGTGTGTGTGCACAGCACAGCTTGATGCAAATGAAAAGTTTTCATCCTGTTCAGAGAGACGTTAAACACACAGGACGACCATCTGTGACGGCAGAACAGCGTGTTACACATCATTAACAGAGGAAAACATAAAACTCTGTTCATCCATCATATACATCTTCTTATGTGTTAAAATCCAGACGATTACAGACGTATTCTCTTCAAACACAGGACGGAACAGCGACCACCCACTTTTAGAACATCTCTGGCTCCGGAAGTAAATTTCCCATTTGTTTGCTCCATTGATGTTTTAGAAAATCTTTAATCTTGTAGTTGACCAGCTACAAGATGAATCGTGACTGTAAAACATTTGATCCAGAGCAAAAGATTATTCACAACATCCCATAAACCACTGAGAACGATCCCTTGCAACAACTTCCTGTGCTTCTTTTTGAATTGAACCTTGTTGTTTATGTAGCGTTGCAATTTATTGCACTTTGTATCTTGTGTGTATGTGTGTAGCATTTTGTATAGTAGTGTAACTTGCAATGCGATCACCCCCTCGGAGCTGAATGATCCAATCATAGCCAACATGATTTTCGAAGTTGTGGTCAACATTTCCAGTTAATATCATACAAACCTTTACAGGAGCATATAACTTTTTTCACAACCTCATGGTTTGTGGTTAATCTACCTTAGATGGTTTCAATATTATTTATATTCTGGCCTAGATTTATTTTCTCATTCTTTAATTAACTTCAACAATTCCTCTCCTTGTCTCTTTCCAATGATCATCATGTTCCTTTGCTTTATGAACAAACCCCTGAGATCCTCTGTAATGACTTGGCTTTGCTTTGACGTCATGAAGCAGAGTTTTTGTTAATGGGCAACACGTCCTCTGGAATTTTCTGTATCTACACACCAGCGAGAGGAACGACTCAACTCGCCGCTTGTATAAACGTTGCTGCAGTTTAATGGGGAAGAGAACGGCGTTTGAGATGAAAGCGTGAGAGGGAACGGACGTGTTTGGGTTTGATCTCTGTTTACCGCTCCTCTTGAAAGGATTTAAAGTGGTAATCAACGGGATAATGGTTTGTTCTGTTGTCTCCAGCCACGGTGCTAAGCGTTTCTCAACGTACCACATTTCCCAGAGTTCCGTTGTCATTCAAAAGAGCGAGCGTTTGTTTTTTGTCTTCGTCATCCGTTCAGGTGCATCTGTCAAGTATGATCGCTATCGCTGGTCGTATTAACCACCGCAGTTCTTCCTCTGTTTATCTGAAGTGAGATGGAAACATCACTTCCTGTGCACCAAACACTGGCTGCGTGCCGAGATTTATATCGTTTGAAAACGGCGTTTCTCTGGAGACGAGTCCTCGTTACGTGTTGTTGTTTGTGCTCCTTCACCGTGAAGTCATCATGGGAGAAAAGTGCTTAATAAAAGATAAATAAACTGATTCCCAGCCTGACAATGGCCGGGTTGTACAAACGCATGGATTTCAGAATAATAGATTTTAAAGAATGATAGAGGAGAGAAATTAGAAAATAAAACAATAATATTTTACATGTTAAAAGCCAATGTGTACAGTGTATACCTTTTTTCAATGTGGAAATTAAAACCTACGGAGAATCGTCACCGAGTGTTTGGCTCATTATTTAATCTCTTCTTACCAATCTCATTTCCATTTCATATAAATTCCTTCACATGATTTCAAAGTGTTTCCCCACACGTTTCTTTTCTTTAAACTAATTGATTGTATTGTTCTTTTTCTCCTCAGTTTGCTCGCAGTACTCCCGCGGTGTCTTCGCCATCTTCGGCCTGTACGACAAGCGCTCAGTCCACACGTTGACGTCCTTCTGCAGCGCCCTGCACATCTCCCTCATCACGCCCAGCTTCCCCACCGAGGGCGAGAGCCAGTTCACCCTGCAGCTCCGGCCGTCAATCCGAGGCGCTCTGCTGTCCCTGCTCGACCACTACGACTGGAACAAGTTCGTCTTCCTGTACGACACAGATCGGGGTGAGTCACTTAAATGTTCTGCAGAAAGACTTAATATAGGTGCCTTCAGATTTTATGACATCTCCTTTTCCATGCTACAGTCTGGGTATACGTGTTAGTTCAGTGTTAATTGTTGATGGGAAACAGGAAAGGAAATGTGAGCTTCCACAGCAAGTAGTCCTAAAAGTCAGTCACTTGTATGTAAACCTTTTAAAATGACTGACGTGCTCTATTTTCTTGGGCGGACCATATGCAAATATAACAGAAAAGGAGATTATAAATCAAATCTGACCAGAGAACGCCAGGGATTCCCCACATGAGGAGCTGGACAACATTGCTGTGGAGAGAGACTGCGTAGTCCTAAACATCCTGACCCTGTATAAGTGGGAGGAAATTAATGCATATATGATGGATGCCATCTGTTCACATGCTGAACCTAAAGGCCTCTTGTGGTTGTGTAGAAACCAGCACGAGAGACTTAACGGCCTCCAGGGCAGGAGGGGTTAGAGCTCATACTAAAAACACTGATCGTGATAGAAAGATGTCCCCTTTAACAACAGGACAAACTGAGGTTATCATCTTGATAACAAACGTCAGACAGATGTGAAAGATTTACGTCAAGCGGGAGAAAACATGTGTCAACTTGGTTTATGGTAATATTGGATTACCATAAACCAATATTATCATTGAAATCATCACGATAAAAAAACAAGTGTTAAGAATCTCAAACTCCAGCAATTAGATCCATCCCTGCAAAAACAAATTAAACAGCATTGCTAGTTGCTATCTCCACTGTTAATAATCACATCCCACTCAGTATTCGCCTGGTGTTTTATTTCTATCTCTTTTCTTCCTCACGTTCTCCCAGTTTTTATTCCCCCTTTTCATTTTTCTCTGCCGTTCACTGAACCTTCTTCTCTCTCGCTCTCTCTCACCACGATTCACTCTTCCAAAGTCAATGGGTTTGAACTTATTCACCCCCTCCCAGCCCCCCACTCCGTGTCACATTTCCATTACAAGACAGAATGGATATGGGCGACTGCGTGGAATCACATCTCCACATCTCACTTTCATACATTCTCCAGAAGCTCGTCGAGGGGGGTGTCTGTTCTCTCTCTCCGTGCTGCTGTGGGGGGCCCACGGTGGATGTGTGGGCAGATTGGATGTATTCTGGGGGGGGTGCGCGCAGAGTGAGGTACATATAGGGATGGCCTCCCCCTTCAGAACAAATCATTCCCTGCCCCTTCTCTCTCTTATCTCAGGTCGTACATGCTTGACTGGGTAAAGAGCCTCCTCTCAACAACACCCACTTGTATCTGATCAAGTGTTCTCCCCAAAAAAACACAGCGGAGGTTCCTTCAGCTGTAACACTGAGCTGCCCCACAGAGCTACTGACATCACACAGCCTCACCACCGCCATTTCACATCACAACTGATTCAGCGTCAGGATGAGACTGTGACAGGAATACAGGCGATGTGTTGTTGTGTCACGTCAAGGACAAACAAGCCACTTTTGTTTTGGGGTACGTTATCAGAACTTCCTCAATAATAGCTCATATTCTTATAGAAAACTATGTCTCGCCAAATACTTTACGCTTCAGTATAATTTATTTTGCACCCAGTTATCCAATGTTCTTTTAGAGTAATTCAGTCTTCACATTGGAAGGTTTCAGTTCCCGATCATAACATCGTTTTCTTCATATTTTTAATATATTTTTTAGTATATTTGTGTTTTCTGAATTTGCTGAACTTGATATTTTCCCTGTATGAGCCCCGGCTGCGTTAGGAGCTCTGTCCCTGGTGCTGAAACCAGGCTCATGTTTCTCTGACTGATCGCTGATGTTGTGGATTCTGTCAAAGCTGCTGTCGTACGAACAGTTAGAAACACCGGCTGTCAAGTGTGTGACACACTGAATACGACGCAGCAGCTATCGACAACATGTCTGAACAGAGATACTGTTACCGCCTGTCGTTGAGTGAAACGCACTGATGACCTGGAGGTTCACGTAAAAGAGATCATTTATGATGAGAGATGTTTACTTTAAACTTAAGCTTTTAAAGTCAGTCGTTTTCCAGGGGGATAGGTTTCCCATCATTCATATCATGATGCCTATTTACAGTAATCTATTGTCATCTTCTACAGGTTTTATTAGTTTCTTATCTGATACTCTTTCCTCTTACGTTCTTCCCTCTTTCATTTCCCTTGCAAACTTTATAGCTGATCGGTTTAAATCTGTTTTGTTGCCTGGCAAAGATGAGACCAAATTGCTGCACATATTGGATGGCTGATCTTACCCTGACTTACCTTACCTTACCTTACCTCACCTCAATTCCTTACTTACCTCCCTTACTTTATTCACGTTACTTACTTTACTTATATTATTTACCATACTTACCTTAACCTCCTGTGTTATAGCAGCAAGACATCAGGCTCAACATACAACATATAAAAAGCATAAGAACACACTCGATTTAAACTATACAAAATATATGGAATGAAAATAAAAGATTAGTCAAAACATAATTCAGTCACATTGTATTAAGTGTGTAAATGAGTATTACTCATTGAGTTAGCTAGTTGTGTACTTGACACTGATTTAACATCAGCAAGGAGAAAGTGAACTCAAGACCTTTTCTGTGAAGACGTGAATATATCAAAGCCTCAAATATTGTCATGAGGTCTTCTGTCTTTGTTAAAGGGTATGACTGCGTGTGTGTGTGCGTGCGTGTGCGTGCGTGTGTGTGTGTGTGCATGTATGTGCGTGCTCTTTTCAGAAGGCTTTTGGGTGCAGGCTGCAGCACTTTAGCCTGAGGATTTTTTTCACACACAGGACCAGGCATTCATCCAGTATCGACTATAATGTAGAATCAGCCCACGCATGGCTGAGCTCAGTCAATGAGTGCCAGTCTGATTCCCTGCATCAAAGCACCACAAATACAAGGGACTGGATACTGTAGCGCTGTGTGTGTGTGTGTGTGTGTGAGAGAGAGAGAGACTGCTTTTCCTTTTAGATTTCCTGGATTTTCCATAATACACACCAATACACTCACTAATAGAAGGAAATAAAATGCATGAATGAAGGAAATTATTTAAAATGAGAAAGTCAAAGAGAATGCAAATAAAATGAATGATGACATTATTTCAGGATTTTTTTCGAAGAGGAGAGGGGTTATGGAAAAAGAAATGCGATGAGAGAAAATGGAAGAAAGTGGAGTGGTGGAAAAGAAAGGAGGGGAGAAGGAAACAGAGGAGGTCATAGAAAAGGATAAGAGAATGGAGGAGGAGGTTAAAGGAAGCAAGGAGGAGGAGAGAAGGAAAGCGGATGAGATGAAATGGAGGATAGGCAGCAGTGGGACAAAATGAAGAAGAGGAGATAAAATGGAGGAAATTTGAAAAGATTCAAGGGGATACTAAACATGAGGATGTAAGAGGAAAAGAGAGGAAACTAATAGGTGTGGGGAGGAAATGAGATCATAGAAAGAAAAAGAGGAGGAGAGGAAGGGAGGAATGAAAATGAAGGACTGCAAAAGAAAGAGGAAACCAGCAGAAAGTGAGAGAGATTAGAGGAAACAGCAGGGGAATAGAGGAGAAGGGGGGGGGGGGGGTGAAATGGAGGAAACAAGAAGTGGGAAAAAAGGGAAGGGAGAGGAAATGATGAGGGTGGAATGAGATTAAAAAGGAGGAAGAAGAAGGAAGAGAGGGGAGGAAAAAGGGGCAAAGAGATGAAATGTAATGCGAGGAGCAGGATGAAGGGTGGGAAAAAGAAGCAGAGGAGAGGAAACAGCAGAAGAAAGGAAAAGATTTGAGAGCAGGAAGGTAAAGAAAATGAGAGGAGGGGGAGAAAAGAAACGAGGAAAAGAGAAGACAAGAGTGAATGACATGAAGGGAGATGAAATGAGAGCAGTGAAATGAGGATGAAGGACAGGAAGAAAGGAAAGGAGAGGAAACAAGCAAAAAGTGAGGATATTAGAGGGAAAAGCGAGTGGAGAGCAGAGGATGAAAGGAAACAAACAGAGAAAGGATGAAGAAGAAATGAGGAAAGGAGATGAGAAGAGGAGAGGCAATGAGATGAGTAGAATGAGGATGAAAAGGATATCGGAAGTGAAAGAGATAAGAGGAAACAGAAGGAGAAGAGGAAAAGAAGGGAGGAAGGAATGAGTGAATAGCAGAGGACAGGAAAGGAAGGAAGATGTAACGAAAGCAGAGGAAACAAGAAGAGAGGAGATGTCAGGGAAGGGAAGGAAATGAAAGAGGAGATGGTTCTGCAGCAGATGGTCAGGAGGAGTCAGGGTTTAAAAACATCTCTGGAGAGGAAGAGGTGAAAGGAAAAGAGGGGGAAGGGCAGGATGGAGGCTGAGCAGACATACGATGACAACAGGGAGGTGAAGATGAAGAAGAGGTCCAGACGTGCTCTCTCTCTCCTCTCCAGTGTCCGGCTCCGCTGCGTTACAGCATCAGTCTGCACGCCGCCCGTGGCTGTGTCTTTGACGCTCATTGTGGTTGGCTGCTGCTCCACACACGGCCCCCGGGGGCCACACATATTTATCAGTTGGTAATCAGCCGGCCCCTCAGCACACCACACCTTCCTGTCCCGACAATGTGCTCGCCACATAGCACAATAGAGCATGATGGGATATCATCATCATTGTGACGAACAAGCAACAAGTCCAGCTGCTGAATTGCATCTGGCAGGGGTTGAATCCCTCAATCAAACTTTATTCGTTCAGCGACGCTTCACATTTAGTGCTTCACAGATGACTGAAACAAATAATACAGCTGAAAAAGAAATACTGCAAAATAGGTTTTAAAATGATAATTAAAACAAGGAAGTACTTTAGAAAAATTGGGAGAAAATCTGTGATAAGATTAATAATGATAATAATAATAAAAAATAAGTAAAATAGAATTAAATTTAAAACACAGATGCATTAAAATAAGTCAATAAAGGAAAAATATTGCCTTTATTTTTCTTCTGAAGATAAAACAACAAAAAATGAACAAACTTGCACGTCTCAGACATGAGGTATGATCATTGGCATAAGAACAGAGCGCAACATTGTTTTTTAAAAACACTTCTTAATGAGCAAAATATATTAATATAATTTATATTAAATCCATTTGAGGTTATACCTCTTTTAATATAATTAGTATAAAAGCTGCTTGTGACACAATTTCTTTTCTTCTGTTTACTTTGGAGTGAAATTCAACAATTGTTTCTGTCACTGTCATTATTGTGAAGTCTGTGTTTTCTGTGCTAGAACAGGAATCTTCACAAAACCTCAAAACAGCAACTGGTGCAAGATACTTGATGAGAAAAATGAAATTGATTGCACCATTGAGACTCCTGCAGGATAAACTATGACTCTGCAGTCTGGTGTCGTGCTGAGATAAAACTGAAAAATATATATTGATGGTTCGAAGCAGACGATCACCACGGTCGCACAACGCAACACAGCAAAAGTGAACAAAAACAGCTGCTCTGTTGTAGCAGAACCAGCCTCAGTCAACAGCTACAAAGTAACTGCAGCTGCCACGGGGAGTCGTTTTCAGCCCCGTGTGCCGCTTCCCACCTGCAAAAGTCTTTTTCATTATCTTTTATTTGTCAGGGAACGTGTGCAAAAGCTTATTCCATCATATTTTATTCTCCGTAAGCAACAAGAAGAGACACTGAGTCAGATTTAGATACCAGTCATTTCACTGTGTGCAGTCCCTGCTGGCAGGTAGGCACAAACACTGCAAAGTAAATGTTAAGTGAATCCACACCATGAGAATCGGAGACCTCGACAGCTTCTGCACTTAAAACAGTAGAGACAAATAATTATCTATCTGATTATCTTAATTTTGCACGCATGTGTGAGTATGTATGTGAGAACATGCATGTCCGTGTGCTTGGCATTTGTGCGTCGCCTCAAACATCAGTCCCTCCTGGCACCGACGTTCCTCTAATGGGGAGCACGGGGGCCGGGGAGGGGAAGGAGGAGGTGGAGAGGGAGCCCGGTTGCCAGTGCACAGGTTAATCCACTAATTGGGAGCAAAGGGAGACGGGTTGCCAGATTGTGATGGCCACCAGGAGGGGCCGTTTAAGGGGGACATCTGTTCCTGTTGGAGAACAGCCGCCCTCGCAGCTCCATGCAGTTTCCTCTCTGACACTCATCTTCTTTATACATGAACCTGACAGTGAGGGGCCCGCCTTCCACCCCCAGCCTCCAGAGTGCAGTGACACATCCAACTCGTGGAGATGCACCTGTCCCCACCCCCCCGACTGGACCAAAAGCCAGCTTCTGACTGGAGGAGGATAAAAGCTTCAGAGGACTCTGCCTGAATGCAGTTTCTTTTTGGACAGAAAAGAATTCGTCCTGCCAGAGATGTTGTGTCAACTGAAGCCAGTTTATTGTTTGAAGCAGCAATTAAGAGCAATATGTTTTAAACTTCACGTGGTGATGAGACACATTTCACACAGTCAGCATCATTTTAACCAGTAAATGTATTCAGGAGCTCATTTACATTTTTAACGATCTATATCGTCACTGCTTCAATTTGTTTGTGCGTTGATGGTCGTTAAGCAATACGTCCAAGATGTACATAGCGCCCCCTGTGCCTGAGTAAAGTAAAACCCTCAAATGTCTGTAGTTTCTCACCAACTTCCAAAAGTTCTGTTCAAACTCCTTCCTCGTGTCCGATGGTCGTCTCACTTGAACCACTGGCTACACTGCCCCCCCCCCAAATATCCAGTGGTACTGCTCTGGTTCAGAAGACGTGCACAGATATAAAATGATTACTGTCAACAACGTCAGGCATTAATTCAAATTTAAACCTGACAAATAAAAACATTCACTTCTGTTGATATAATTACAGAACATGTTCAAATAAATTGCATCTGGATCTGTATCAAAAAAAAGAACTTTATTTTTATCACCAATCACAACATTTGCTTCAAGGGAATCATCTAAACAAAGTATTTTAATTACAGAGAATGGTAGTGCCTTATTTTTTTAATTTGTATTTTCAACATGTTAAATGTTCATCACTCAATCTCCAGCAGTCGTTATTCAACACCAGAAATCAAAAGAGATGTTTCTTTTTCTTTCATTCATCGTGAAACTCTCCACCACTTTAAAGTTCACTTGTCATCTGTTTGTGTGTGTTGACAATTCTAAAAACCAAAGACGATGAGCACTTAATGATAAATAAGATGTTTAACACTGAAACGTTTCCCGTGTGTGTGTGACTCCACCAGGATACGCCATCCTGCAGGCCATCATGGAGAAGGCGGGACAAAACAACTGGCAGGTCAGCGCCATCTGCGTGGAAAACTTCAACGACGCCAGTTACCGGCGTCTGCTGGAGGACCTGGACCGGAGAAAGGAGAAGAAGTTTGTGATCGACCTCGAGGCCGAAAGACTGCAGAACATGCTGGAGCAGGTGATGCTACCATGACATCAGCATTATTTACACTTGTGGCACGGATTTCTTGAACTGATACAAGACCGAGGTTTTCATGAAGCAGAATCTCTGTTCAACGAGGTTTTTCAATAGTTTCTGGAAAAATAACATCGTATGGAGGCATGAACGCGATGATGAGGAGAATTTGTTCTTTATATATGAGGATGAGGATGAGGAAGATGAATTTGCTTTATTTACTTGTTAATTTGTTTCCCGTCCTGAAACTCAGCATCGCACAAACTAAACATCTTAGAACAGAAGTTGGTGTTTCACACTCACTGTTTGTTTCACTGCTTTTTTTAATGTTTGTGCTCATTAGAATGTTTTGAACTTGAAGACAGTCTGCGCTTTTCTCCGGTGGCGTTCGTTGGCATAAACACACTCAGAATATGATCCGCATCTTCCTCCTCCTCCTCCTCCTGCTCCTCTTCATCCCTTCATCCATCAATCCTTCCCCTGGAGCTACTGGTGTCTCTGTAATTGTTCAATTATTCAGGAAATCTCCGCTCTGACATCTGTCATACTTCTTACAATTTATTTTGCAGATGTGTACTCGCGCCGCTCCGTCCTCTCCCGATGCCACGGAGCGTCCCACGAGCAGACGTGATGGACTCTGTCATGTTCAGAGCTTGTGGGACGATGTGCTGTGCTTTTTGTGTGGCGGCGGCCAGAGTCGCTGCCAGAGACATAAACATCTATTTTATCCTGTTTTCTTTCCAGCCGTCGCCCTGCTCGTGTTTACGTCGTGCCAAATGGTTCCGATCCAGGACGAGGATTTGAATACATAATTGAGCTTCGTTAGCTGCTTAGCAACAGTGTGATCAGAACAGATCCAGCCAGATGTTGCTTTGAATGTCAGGGAATTAATGCACTAAATGGAAAGTGGTTTAATTTAGAGGAAGTTGAACATTTTGGATTTAGTAAAGATTGTCTGTATTCTAAACTGTGAGGTAGTTGGATGAGAGTCAGGTGACTAGAGGTAATATTTAATATTTTAGTGAAGTGTTTATCTGATTGATCATGAGGCAACACAATCTGAAGGAGGGAAAACAAACCATGCTTCGGTTTTCTTCATCAGATTCATCACATTCTGTCGACCTCCACCGAGGTGTTGGTTGGTTGGTTGGTTTGATTGTTTACAAGATTATGCAAAAACTTCCGGTAAAACTTGGTAGAAGGATGCGGAGTGGCTCAGGAAGGATCCAGAAATGTTTTTAAAACTTTAAAACAACATTTTCCTGAACAGCTAATTTGCAAATTGTACAGTTTGTGTTTTACCTGCAAAATTATTGAAGAACTGAGACTTCAAACTACATTTAAATCCACTAGATCTTGATTTTTATTTGGATCTGTACTGAATTTCACGCACTCATAGATATCAGTCTCCTAAATATGCCTGATTTTATTTATCATCAAGATTTGTGACTTATCTTGTGAGAAGTTAAAGAAATTGTTGAAAAAGCCTCAAGAAAGTGAAAATGAATCCTTCCTCTGATCTCGATCCACACGAAAATCAATTGATTTCTTTATTGAATAAGAAACATACAGTATAAACTCCTCCTGTAGAATCGGCAAAGTTGTACCTGGTAATATTTCCAACATGAGGCAGAATTGAATGTCTTCATATTAATGTAAAGGCTGCAGCACAACAGGGTTAAATAAGCATATCTCCCTCTGCCTTCTAAAAGAATCAGCACTGTAATTAACAAATCACTTAATTATCATCTCTTACGCGCAAAAACTGAAATGAGTTTATTAATCCCCCGAAACACTGAAAGAGCCAATTTTAAGTTGCTGAGGAGGAGATTCTTCTCATATCAGATCAGAATATAAAAAGGATTTTTCCTCCCTCTCAGTGTGAAGTGAAGGAGGTGAAAAGAAAACAAATCCAGCTCCGGCAAAACCACGACGATCAGAGCGACGCTCCTTCCTTTCATTCTCAGTTTTCATCCATCCCAGCTGCAGGGGATGAAATGAGAGTCATTCACTTCTCGTGCACGGTTGGATTTTATTAGATGTGCAGCAGAATCTGACAATATTTATTATGTGATTCACTGGGAGGAGCAGAGTGCAAGTGTCCCTCACACTTACGTCACACTTTACTTTAGGTTTCAATGGCAACGGAAAGTGACTCAGCTTGAGAGAGAAAGTTTTTACTAAACATATTAAGTTGTTCTCGTTATCCGGCTCCTCTCATTCTGTTGTGTCTTAACAAAACCTGTCGTGGAACATTTAGTCTCCTCCTGGGTGTTGGATTACAAAACACCAAGGTTAACGGATCCAGATCTCGCCATGTTAGAAAACATTCTGGCTGTTCATCTCCTCCTGTTGTGCCTCAACTCTCCAGTGATAAAAACACAGCCTCCTTGGAGCAGGTAATGAGCACAGGAGTAGAATTTAGCGAAATTTAGAAGCATAAAACATAATTTTATCAAAATGTCATCTTCGGTCATAAAGAGGAACAAATTGTGAAAATGTCATCGTCATCGTTATGAGGCCAATAAATTGTGTTTTCATTTTCATTATTACATTCAACACACTGTGCTCAGAACCAGATTAAAGAAAGATGACATCTTGATGGACTTATTCACAATAAACAGGTTTAATTGGAACTATACTTTTGAATCCATATGAAAACTAAGAACTCAGGATTGACGACACAGGATTGTCCAGTTGTTTTAGTAGAAATATAAAAAGTAACGAGGAATGACAAACAACCTTTTTTCTTCATAAAAAAAGTCTTGAACTTAAAGATCTGTTCTTGTCAGGCTCAGCCCGTGTCCCTCCTCCAGATGTGGTGGAAACAGGTTTAGTCGTTTTTGCATAATCCTCAGAACAAACAAAAAACAAGGAAGTGCGGATTAAATTTTCTTGGCTGAGGTAACGATTGGAAGAACCAACTCCTACATTTAGTTAAAATAACCATTCTCTCCTAGTGTGACATGGATGCTGATCGTCTCCTCCATGTTGAGATTCAGATAAAAACACATGATATTGGAAAACGACCAGCAAACGTTTCACAGCCTGATGCTCGTGTCTCACGGAGCTGAAGCTGTTTGGGAATTGATATAAATCGGAGCTTTTCTGAGGAGTTCAAAACATCTTTAAAGGATTTAATTCATTCCCTGATTAACTGGATGTCCAGTGGGATTTCTCAGCAGATGTCAGCTTTCAAAACATGTTTTAATCACCTTGTGCAGCTACGTGATTGTACCTGTGTGCGTGTGTGTGTGTGTGTGTGAAGCATTGTCAAGTCTCTGAAAGCGTGAAGCGTTTACCTCCTCAGCGACTCACTGCCATGACCGCCTGTTCATTTGTTTAGACGTCCCATCTCTACGGATTCAATCCGACGGTTCCACTGTGCCATCACGCACACGCTCGCCTGCCACACACATCATTGACAGTAATTAACGTGTTATGCTGTAATCCAGTCAGATTAACGCTGAGCTGTGCTCCGCCTCCTCGCAGATCGTCAGCGTCGGGAAACACGTCAAAGGCTACCATTACATCATGGCCAACCTGGTGAGGGGAAATGAAGCGTCTTCACACCGCGTCCGTCTTTGTTTGTCTTCTTCTTCTCATCTCATTGTGTCATTTGCTGCTCGATGAAATTAGAGAATGTGTGGGAGAGAAATAATAATTTACAAGTGTAAAAATCTCTCACAACTTGTCACAGCTGCTCGGTTGTTTCACCCAGTGTCTTTTTATTATCTGCTTATAATTTCATTACACTTGTTGTGATCTGAATTTTAGTCAGTAAATGTATTCAAATCAGATCATTAATACCTGTTGTACCTCCCATCGCCTACATTTCTCTTTCTGCCTCTACACTCAGACCATGAACAGTCTTTCACCTTGTTGCTTTTCTCCTCAAGGGTTTTAAGGACATCAACCTGGAGCGCTTCATGCACGGTGGGGCTAACGTGACGGGCTTCCAGCTGGTCGACTTCAGCAACCCGATGGTCATCAAACTGATGCAGCGCTGGAACAAGCTGGACCAGAGGGAGTATCCCGGCTCGGACGCCCCACCCAAGGTACGTCAGACGAAAAAAAAGAACAGATCTTTGGTTGAATCGTCTGAAGTCAACATGAGAAGCTTTAATCTTCCCTCTGATGTGACCGGAGTTGTTGTAAAAGGAAGAAAATATAAGAAAGGACAGAGCAGATAAGATGAAGCGTCTTAATATATAGGAGCATGTTTGCAAGGTGTGCAAAAGCAGCAGCAGGAGACACAAATACATAAGAAATCTGCTTGATGCAACAGCTAAAGAACAGAAGCTATGATAAAAAAAAATGATCCATTCGCACGTACATATAAGAAACGTCCGTAATCATCAGCAATCTGCTCCACTGCGTTCCACCACTCTCCGATGCAGCGATGTGACAGACTGACCCACTTTACATTCTTTTCAGCCACACAGATTGCAAATGGCACTGGGGCAAGAATGCATCACGCCATGGCGGTCAACAAACCTCCCCCCCTGCAGCAAATCTGTGTCCGACCAAAGATTTCTATTTTAAAATCCAGATGCACTGGAGTGGAATCGGTGTGTGTGTCGTCTGAGCGTTCGTGTTCATCACTTTGTTTCTTGATAAGTTGCCGTTTCTCTGAGTCAGAGTCAGTTCTTATGTCTACTGGTGAATCAACATGGCTGCTGCGTTGAGATTTCTGCGCTCGTGTGTTAAAATCGATGCCACGTCTTTAAAAGGTCCAAGAATCAGCGAGTAGTGAATTAACCCCCGTGGCTCAGACTACAGCTTTTTAATGGTCAGTTTTATTACTGCCAGGAGAGACGGTGTCCAACTTCAGCTGCATCCTGCAAAATCACGTGGACTGCTTCATCGTCCACATCTCCTGATTTCCTGCAGCGAGCGGCTCTGGTGTTCATCAACAGGTTGTTTTCCTGGTTGGGGATTCAATTGGTCAATTAGAGCTTCGTAGGCAGGATAAACAAAGTCAACTTGCTGTGTAGTTGTCTGGTTTTCTGGCCACATCGATGACAAACGGCCACAAGAACGGTAACTGTTGTTTTTTCCACTGATCCAGACTTATGCTGCGCCCTCGTCCGAAGTTCTGTGGAAATCTGTCCTGTAGTTTTTGTGTAATCATGTTTGAAAACCAACAAACATACAAAGAGGGGTGACTCAGAAGATAGAGCAGGTTGGCCACCAACCAGAAGGTCGGCAGTTCGATTCCTATCTCCCCTGAGAAAATGCTCCGCATAGATGAAACTGTAAAGCACTTCGAGCGTTCATCAATACTAGAGAAATGCTACATAAAAAAACATTTACATCATCCAAAGGCTGTTAAGGGAGAGTGATACTACGAATTGATCCTCTGTCATCTTTTAATTATGCTGATTGTAGAAAGAGAAACTAGCTGACTCTCGTCATGTGAGCATCACTCTGCTCCGCCGCTCCACTGAAAGAATGAATCTGTCATGTCCCACGTTCCTGTCCCTGGCAGCAGTGATTGTCCTGTTATTTATTTTGTCCCACACCTTGATTGTTTGTGTGCATAGATTTACTTTGGGCAGATTGTCAGAGAACAACCAGGGGATAGAGTGTAGCGCAGTCTGTTGAGAGCCATAATGTCACAGTGAGCAGAGGGCTAATGAATAGGACTCACCCCCGGCCGGAGGCAAAGTTAATGAACTCCTGCTAGTTGGGATAATTAATGCCAGACTGCTCCCCGGCTGGACTAAACACTCGCCTCTCTCCTTCCTACCGCAGCCCCCCTACACTCACTTTCCATCCTGCTGCCTTTTCGTCATCCCCTCAATTAGTTTTCTGCCGCACCAGAGGTGAGTTTTAGGGAAATGTACGGCTCACGAGGGAGAGAGTGATTTTCGTAGAGTCTTCCGGTCAAAGATAGATTAGGGGAAACGGGGCTTTCACTGTGGGGTGTGTGCTCTTCTCTCCTCGCCCTCTCTCCCAGAAAATAATGAGCGGAGTAAAACCGCTGCGTCTCTGCATCCGCCGGGACGTTCCAGCGTCGGACAGCTCGGCCCTGCAGACACTCAGCTTGCTCTCAGATGCCGCCTTACGCAGATAGTTCTTAAAGAGATCTGACCAGCAAATGCAGGAGAACATTTTTTTCTGTTCGGCAAAATCAGCATTTAATTGGCCTCATGCCTTTTTTCTGTGCAGCGTGTTCCCAAAACAGACAGAACAGCAGGCCGGCCTCCAGGTTACAAAGACTGAGATTTCTAAATCACATGCGCCATTCCGACTGAGTTTTATTTCCTTTTGATAAATCTAATAAACCGGAGTTGAAACATAATTCCTGCTGCAGCGATACTCTGTGATGCTAAGATGTTTTTTTAAGGAGGAAGCGTTCACATAACCCAGCTGTGCTCACAGGCAGTAACATCTGCATCTCTGTTCGCCTCCTCTCGTCTCCCAGTACACGTCAGCGCTGACATACGACGGGGTTATGGTGATGGCTGAGGCCTTCAGGAACCTGCGCAGACAGAAGGTGGACATTTCCAGACGGGGGAACGCCGGTGATTGTCTAGCCAATCCGGCCGCTCCGTGGAACCAGGGCATCGACATGGAACGCACTCTCAAACAGGTGAGCGAGAGGGCGGAGGAAGGAAAAGACATTTAACACCGATGTCATGTCATCCTCTGATTTTAACAAAAGCTTCCATTGTTTTCAGTTGTTTTTACGACTCCAATACAAACATGAGGGTGAATAATTTTTCTCCATTTGTCATGAAGACATAGTCACAGCATTTATACAGGAGCTCTGTTAAATCACAAGGTTTCTTTTCGAGAGCAGCAGCAGTAGAAGAAATATAACCTGGTGATTCATGATGTTCAGACGTGCTCACGCGATTATTTTATTTCTTTTGCTAATGTTCTTCTCTCTAAATATCAAACTGGATTAATTGATGACACATGGGGTTAATAGGAGTGTCAACTTTATTGATATCACCCCCATAGCTTCAGACAACTGTATCAGGCCATATATCGTGCTTTAATTAAAATCTCAATTACTGTGCTTTCGCTCCTCTGTTTGCTTTTCAGTCCAGCGACACAGCGTTTCATCTCTGGTTATTGAGCTTTTCTCTGATGCCTCTGCATTGACTTTCTTTGGTTCATTAATAGAAAGTAAAGGTTGCAGGTAGTAACCTTTGAGTCTGGTTGTATTTGATCTTCAGAATCTCCACAGGCATCAGATGGTATCACTCTCACACCTTTTGGACTTTACAGTTTAGTGTGAACCACAATAACGCATGTGAAAGGAACCTCTGACCAAGGTTCAGCCCAAGGGACCAAAATTTTGAAACACTGAGTGTATTAAACAGTAGAAGAATAATGTTTTCTGTTAATTCTTTTTAATTACAATGTGAAACTAAATCAAATGTGAAAAATGGAACAAAGACATGAGCCCTGGTCCAAACTTTCAGGTGTGAGAACGTCCTGAGTTACATGTTTGAAGAGGTGTGTGTTATTTATGGGAACTGCTCATGTAGTTTATGTAAGTACATCATATTTATTCTAGTTTGGCTTAGTTCCTCAATCATCCCCGCAGCACACTGGAGATATCAACCAATCACAGCTCCTTGTTCTCCTCTGGCTCGCCACCAGCAGCCTTCTTGCCAGCATCTCCAGTCTTGCTGAGTTATAGCTGCTTATGGTCGCTATCACAGCTGCCGTCTATTATAAGATGAGTACATTACGAGATCAATACGTATTGGCTTTGTATCAAAAGTCTTAAGTCAGGTGACCTGAAACATTGACCTATTCCTTTACTGTTCTTTCCTCAAACTGTTCATTTCTGCAGCTCCTCTTTTCAGCCTCTGTCTGAAACACTTGGTTTTGACCAGCTGGCACAAATCTGTTGTGATTGGTCAAGGAAATTTAGGCCTCTGTTCTCGCTGTACCTCTTTGTGAGGGGGGCGTGTCAGACTAGTTGTTAGGCGTGCATTATGCATATGTGGTGCATGGCGATATCACATGACATCCCAATGATGCAGACGTATCAGGTACTGACGTGGTGCTTCAGGAACCTCAGGGTTTCCTGTGCGGGAGCTCAAATTACTGAAGCAGTATATATTTAACACACTAGAGGTGAGAAACACTGGAAAAGCATAATATTTCTCCTTTGAATTAAAATAAAGGGAATAAAACTGAGAAATACTTTAAAAGTGTCTCTTTCTTCAGCCCATCCCCCAACATTAAAGATTAGATGTGCTCATAACTTGTCACAGTGACGGTGACGTTCCTCATCGTTCTTGCTTTTCTTGTATTGATCTGCTTCTTCTAGTGACAACATGTTTTCATCTTCTTTAGTAGAAGATTGACCTTCGTGCTGCAGTGTGTTTTTCCTTCAACCTTTCTGTTTCATAAATATACTCTTTCCCTGCTGTTGTTACTGATATTATTTAATGGTGCATGTATTCTCCTCTGTGTGCAGGTCCGGCTGCAGGGATTAACAGGTAATGTCCAGTTTGACCACTATGGCCGCAGGGTCAACTACACTATGGACGTGTTTGAGCTGAAGAATAATGGACCCAGACGGGTAAAACATCACACCACACTGTTAACATTTGAATAATTGTCCAAGTAATGTACTACTGCATGTTTCAACTCCGACACATCTTCCTCTGCAGGGTCCCAGATATGTGCAGACGTGATGTATCTGGGACAATAGAGAGCGTAATGTGGCGTTTTCTATTATCATAACCAGGCGTCCAGTATCTCCGCTCCTGCTCTGACAGGATGGATGTGTGAAGATGAAGCTCAGGGAACATGGGGGGGAGGAAAGAGAGAGAGAGAGAGCACTTGTGAGAGTGATGGCAGGAGGGTGGAATGAAATGGAGAGCAATCAAGGTGGAGGGAGGGAGGAGGGGGGGTGGGCTGAGGAAGCTGAGAGGAGTTCCCATCAATCAAAAGCTGCTTTGGCCCGTCTCCTGGTCCCTAGCGAGGGTCCTGTCAGGACATGGTGTGTGTTTGTGTGTGTGTGTGTGTGTTTGGGTCACAGCCTCTCTCCAACGTTTTCCATGTTCCTCAATCATCCCGATGCCCCGGCACACAGAAGATACCAACCAATCAAGGCCCCTCGTTCCCCTCTGGCTCGCCACCAGCAGCCGTCTGGCGAGCATATCTCCACTCTCTCTGAGTTATAGCTGCTTATGGTCGCTGTCAAAGCTCCCGTCTATTATATAATCAATATATTATAAGATCAATAGGTATTGGCTTTTTATCAAAAGTCATAAATTCGCCGACCATTGCTGTGAACCTCCTCTCAGCATTATCCAGTCAGAAAATTCATGTTATGACCCGAACACATCACGTCTGTTAGTTCCAGTGAAGAACTTCTGGACAACAATGGTAACATGAAGTCGCCTTCGACAAAAAGAAGCAGCACAACCTTTTGCATGAGGCCGTTTCAGCTATAGACTATCAGCAGTAACTCAAGGATATCAGCTAAAATGACAAAAATAGGGGATTAGTGTTTAAAGATAAATGTTTATTCTTGGCCTTGGAAATAAGTGACAAAAGGATTTTCAAATGCACAACCAGAGCTAACAACCTCGGATGTGTTGTTTTGGTTGCACATATTTTATGAGTACCCACCGTTGACTCTATATAAAAATGGACGACGCATCTCCACTTCCTCCAGTTGTGCAGGAGTAAAGATCAAATATTCCATTCATATGTCACTATCTTGAGTTTTTCTCTTTTATGCTGCTTTTACGTATGAAAATGTATAAAGCTGTTTCAGAAGGAAGTGAAAGCTGCTGTTTGTCCCAGTGCCCAAGTGAAGTAACACCGCAAAGTCCCTCACAGAGTCTCGCCTCTGTCCTGTCCGGTCGTTGGCTGCACCGCCTCTGCTCGATTTCTGGTGGCACTACTCCACTTAATCTCTTTCATCCGTATCTGCAAGCTATTAGAAGACGTGCATGAATACTGATGAAATAAAGGGTGCGGACAGAAGGGCTTGTCCATTTCTATAAACGTATCTTAAGTTGGAGAATTTAAGCTGAAACATGCAGGATGTGTTATGATCTACCAGCCACCAGGGGGTGATCAAGATAATTTGGCTTCACTTTTGGAGAGCTGTCCCGTCGTCCATCTTTATCTACAGTCCACATGAAGACACGCACGTCGTGGGATGGATGCTCATATTTTCTCCTCCCTGCAGATCGGTTACTGGAACGATGCGGACAAGCTGGTGCTGATCCAGGACTCTCCGCTGCTTCCAAATGACACGTCTGGCATCGAGAACCGCACTGTCGTGGTTACCACCATTATGGTAAGAGACCGGCAAGCTCTCACCAAAACACACACACACACATATTCTATTTGTAATGCCTGGAGACTTTATTATCTAGTGCTGCTGCAGAACACACTGGACAGTTGAGGGATATGCAGGGTCAGGAGTCTGAGGGTTAGTGGCGACACATCTTACCTCCAACATCAAATCCTGACATGAAAAGAACGGTGGTCGCCTGCACTGTTCTGCATCGCCACCTTCTTGTTTAGTGCTTTCATTTTGTTCTGAGGTTCTTTACAAGTATTCAAACACTTGTCTCTGTATTTCCAGCCCAACATTATGAGCAGCTGTTTCTCCTGAACCTTGGTTTCTTTGTTTGATGCTTTAACATTGAAATAAAGGCTTACTCTACATTTTACGATGTACATTTCAAATGTTTTCCACCTTGAAAAACATCTTTAGTGAGTGAATATCTCTGTTCAATACCCAGAATTCAGCAGTTTTACTACCTTGCAGTGTTATGACTTACCAAAGCTGAGGAATCGCACCTTTATCACAGTAGAGTACATTTTCAGAGGAGAGAAGTGGAATTTATTTTCATTACTCCAATAGAAACATCAATAAAACCTCATACAACTCCAGGACTATTTACCATCACTTACATTTTCTTTTATTGTGCCAATAAACATCTAACAGCTCCACAACCAGCTGCTGTTTCTAAAGGCTTTTGAAACAATTCCAGTTCCATACAGCTGCAGAACCAATCAAATCATTTTACACATGATAGAAGTGAATGGCCTCCTGCATTGCATGTGCATCTCTGGCTGTAGCAGCGACTCTGACATGGCCGACTTGAGTAAATCAGATGTTGAGCGTACATGTGGCAGCTGAGTGGAGGAGGGAAGGAGGAGGTGGGAATGGAAAGTCTCAGCTCAGCACAATCCCTCCCTCTTTTCAGCCCCTGATGAGGAACCCCATTTTAAGAAACTGAGCCCCAGTTGGACGCTAGCAGGATATGAAAGCCCTTAAAGGCAGAGTGACGGACACCGAGCCAAAATGAGGCGCTAAAGACACTGGGCGAGAGGAGACACACACGGCGGCTATGTTAATGGACGCCCTTGTTCAGAAATCCGAGCAAGAAACGGAGCCACTCGAGAGGAAAATGAAATGCAAATTGAGGTCTTTTTTTAAGGATGGACGCCCACTGAGGCTCAAATGGTTTCCCAGCTCCTACAACGGCAGAGTGTCAGGAACAAGCTCCCACTGCACCTGTGTGTCTGCTGGATTCATACATCGTCATGCCCCCGTGTGTTTGTGTGGCCACTCACAGCTCCACCCTGGTTTGGAATTTTTAACTTGTGCAAAGATTTGTGCACTCTGAGATTAAAAGAAGAGGCATTACAGGAATGTGAATCTACATTGTGTCTAACTGAATTACTCTTTGTGCTCTAAATCTGTCACTTTCTCCGACTACCTGCTCCAGCGTACAGAACACCACACACTCAGAGGGCTTCCTGTAAGCCTTAAAACAGCTTAGACAGACTAATGCTCCCATTATCACGCCAGTTCATATCCATCACGCTTTTATGTAGCATGATATTATACTTACATTGTGACGGCTGCCTTTCACGCCCGCTTTTTAAAAGTGTTCCATTGTTTGCATTTGATCTGGTTAGTTTTGGTTCCATATTTTAATTTGGCGAGCGTGCTAAATTATTATATATGACAAATATACGTCCTGTTGTCATCAGCTCGCTGGGCTGCGTCGACCTATGGATTAGTTTGTAGACGGGCGCTCGTCTGACGTTGTCGTGTTGTCATCTCGGCTGTTGTGTTCACTAACTCTTTTGAATAAAGTGTGTAGAAAACAATTAGTCCTTCCATTTGAATGGAGAATGAATGTTAATGATTGAATGAACGGCTCCTTAATATCATGGTGTTACCACCAGCAAAATATATATAGATATAACTCCAGCAATCCTGCAAGGCGCTTCTACTTCTATTGTTTAATTCCGTCTCAACTTCCTGGAATTAGTCTGTATGTCTGAAGCAGTGGCAGTTTTATAGACTGCTGACAGGACCAAAGTACTTCATGGGCTAATCAGAATGTAGCTGCTGAATCCACCCCTGGTCTGATCTATCTAAAAAAAAGTAAACTAACCGAACCAGGGTTCAGTTTGATCTGGAATTTGGTCGGTTTGTTTCACACCTGATGTTTTGTTTTGGACTAAAGTGAAGAATCAGTAGTAGTTGTAAAAGCTTCCTTAGAAGTAAAGGAGCAGTTTAACATATAGACTACTTGTCCCTTGTTCTCCAGGTGAATCATATTCCAGACCTGCACAACAGAGGAACCTGCATCAGTTTCGCCATCTGACTGTATTTAAAAGCAGATCGTTGTTCGGTTCCTCTGCAGAAATTTTCCAGCCTCAGTACCACGGGGGGGGGGCTTCTCCGTGCCTGCACTTTAAAGAGGCTTGTGCGGATTTCTCACCAGAACAACAGCAACAAAAGAAAACGTGGCGATAACACTGTTATCGATTTCCTTTTATGTTTAAGTGAGCAAGAGATTTAACAACAGGAGATAAAATGAACAAGAGAAGTTTTAGGCACAGACAGAAAATCCAGGCCACAGCTGGGACCAGGACAATGAGTGGGTTTGGCCAAAACAGCCTCACAAAACCTCTTTTGTGTTATGGTTTCATTTTTGCGCTGCACTGTTCAGTGTTGATTGACGCCAGACGTTTGGTTTGTTGTAAATATTCTGGAGTAAAAGACCCAAACCTGAACTTTCAGGCTGGACCTGACAGTTGAATTTGAAACTACATTTTTGTTATTTCTTCTCCAAAGTGCTTAGGAAAGACTTTCACACAAATAAAAAGAAACTAATCTGACAACAGCATGAAAGCGTGGACGTGCGGTCCACCAGCACAAGAACCTCCACTATCCCATAAGCCACAGCCACTGGGTAACACTATTGCCTCTCAATATAATAAATAATCTGCTTTACTCGTTAGTAGATCAGCTTCGCTTTTTCCCAAAATGGGCCAGATGATAAAAATAAAACTTCTCTCCCATCTCAACTTGGCAACAAAACCAAACAAACACTTTCTAATGCAGAACAGAAGTTTGCACAGGAACCCTCCGGATGCTCTTTAAAAGTAGGAACTTGTGATGGACGGCAGTAGGAATGTATCTGTTGTCACAACGTGGTCGTAAAGTTTCCACAAAGCAGTTCCCTTCTGCAAATCACTAAGGATTTTACAAGTTTATGCAGAATTTAATTTATTACTGTATTTCACCCTAGCTCTTTCTTATAATCTGTTTCTGGCACAAATTCACAGAATGCATCTGGACACTTCTCAGGAGTGTAACGTTACGCAGCCATCGCGTGTTAGAATCGTCATCAACACCACCACTCGCTCGCTGTGAAAGTTTCGTGCACATCTGAAACACACAATTTGAATTTTTAAGATATATTTTGTAAAAGAAAACGCTGTCATGACCTGTGTCGTCACAAAACACCAATCTGTGACATATCTGCTTCATCACTGACAGCAGCAGTCGTTCCTGGAACCTGATAACTGAGGTTTACCTCCAGGAACTCATCCCATAAGTTGGCAGATTAAAGTGAAAACAAAATCGCAACTTAAAACATAACTTTTCCTTTAAATGTAATAAATAAAGTGTTTTCTCTGCTTTGCAAAGTTGAACTGAGCTGAACATCCCTCCTCCTGTGGCCATTTGAGTGAGTGGACTTCTGCTGCTGGTTGTCACGGCTAAAGATAACTGAACCCTGCATGGGTTAGAAAATCTCTTTCACTGGGCCGTTCACATTCGCATTATTCAGGTTCTTGTCAATGAAAAGATCTGCAGTTGGGTTTCATTTTGTTTGTATCTGTCTCTGTGAGCAGATAACACATCTCTAGGATGTCTCTGGCTCTTGCTGGAAGTTGATGCATCAACAGAAACGCTCTCAAAGACAAAGTCTGACTGTCATTGTGGTGTCAGGACGAGGCTGAAAGCTGTGATGAAGTGTGTCTCTGCTTTAAACTCCTTCCATTGCACTTTAAACCTGGGACACCATCAATCTGCCGCAAGGAAAGGAGCACAATGCAAGGTCCTGCTGTGGTTGTGTCTTTGTTCAACCTTTGTCCAAGGAAATCTGTCTGAGGCTTTTATGGAAAGGGACAACTTGAATATCCTAAATTCCTCCTGATGATGTCACTGCGACACTGAGAACACACGCAGCGTCATGCTCGGAGCTCTTTTATGGACGGATTCATCATGTGAGATTCATGCAAGTATTTTAAAATAATTATTTCTCATTCAACATTTACAGTTTAGTCCGTGTCTAGGACATATTTAACTCACAAGAGAAAGAATGGCTGCGTCACCTCATCCGTTCATCTCGTTGTGACAGAAATTCTCAAGGTTGAGTCTCTCAGAGGGTGAATTTAACACCCGACTGTGTAATTTCACCTTTATTGGAGTTTTTATCATCTTGTTCCTCTCAATGAAGTGAAACACTAGGTTCTTCTCTTTTACCTTTGAGTGACATTTTTGTGAAGGAAAAACTGAATCAATAAATGATGAAATGAACGATTTACAAAACCCGTTTGCAGTTTGGAATCATTGTTTGAATGAGCCTGACGAAATTAAGCGAGCGAGAAGTTTAGGGTAAGATTCTAAAATGTTCTTGCAAGAATCCAAATGAATGTTTGAGGGAATGTGATTTTTTAAAAAGATAAACGGTACGAATTGCAATAAAACTGAAGAAACAAAACGCAGCCTTTCTTCTTTGTCGAGAAAAAGGTTTTGTGTGATTCTTGCAGCAGTAAATTAGTTTTTCTTTTACTTCTAAAAGTTGTATTTTAAATCCTACATTTGTTTTACCTCATGTTTCTCGCTGCACACCACTGTAATCTAAAGCCCTTGACAAGGCCGTGATGTTTTCCTGCAGTGGCCAGTCGAATGCGCTTCATATGAAAAGGAAAGAAAAGTGGACATTTGCAAATCTCTCTCTTTGAGCTTTGAATGTTTTCCCCTTTTTCAACGGCGCACAACCATATTAAATCAAAGTCAAATAAAAATGTGTTTAGTGCCTCAAGTGGCTGCTGATGAATGAGAGCCGCAGATGAGCGATGAACTGAGAAGCACTAATGTGTGTTTGCTTCATAAAAGGTTTTGTGCTCAAGTAATCGTACGATGTGGGCCGTCGCTTTGCTGCTTGGTACCGCTCATATTCCAACAGAAGGTGCGACAGATTGTTTATCTTACATAATGCACAAAAGACTTTGCACAGGCAGCCAGATGTGTGTGTGTCTGTGTGTGTCTGTGTGTGCACACCCATACGTATAGATCTGTGACATCAAGTGGGCCCTGCAGTGTGTGTGTGTGTGTGTGTGTGTATGTTAATGGCATGTTTAATTAGTCTCATTAGGTCGTGAGTGAAGCTGCGTGCTCGTGATTATTGACCAGCCTGTCAGTCTTTGCTGTGAAGATCTCTGAAGTGCCGCTCTCTTCTCGTGCCAGAAACACTGACTGAGTCCTTTATCTCTGCCACTTCTCCATCTCCTCTGGTTGCCAGCGCCGTCACACACCCCGCCGTCGTAAATCATATGGATTAAGTCTGATTTCTGTTTGATATACATCCAAAGCAAACTTGGGAAAGTTTAAAATCTTACACACAGTGAAAAACAAATTAAGTAATGCAATATTTAGCAGGTACGTCATCTCAGATTTCGCACACTCATAGATTAGTTTTCCTTAATATGCCTGGTTTCATTTCATACAGATCCATGAATTCATCTCTGGAAAATCTTTCAATACAGAAAATAAAGTGAAAATAAATTCCTGCCGGAGCCACAACTAGGTGAACACATTAAATTAAATTAATACTTTGCTTTATTTCAGACTCACACGTCCATGTCATTATACAGAAACAATATACTATCATATTTATTTTGTCATTTCTGAAGAACTTCCTTGGATGTTTCCTGGAAAGCCTCTCGTTTGTTTTCATGTTCAGATGACCTACTTTTCACTACCTAAAAAAAAAAAAGCACAGTAAATGAGTCAAGAACTTAGTTGGTATAAATGAATTGGACGCTGATCAACACTGTCTGGATTTATCGTACCAAATTACAATACATTGTTATTCCCAGGGAACCGTATCTCATTTTATTTTATTATTAATTCAGCTGTTGTGTGTATTCTGTTAGAATTCTAACGGCAGCAGTGAAATATAAAACTTCCAGGTAACAGATGTCTTATTTTGATATGAAACTGCTAAACTGTGCCATCATTTTGTTGTACACCAACATTTTGTTGTGCCGCAGGCTCAGCCGAGCATTTGCATTCTCTCCCTGCCGCAGAGTCTTTGGTTTACCTTGCTTTGGCCCGGGGCAATGTCAAGCAAACACATCTCCAGAATAAATTGCTCCTGTTCTCAATATGCAATCGGCTGCGTTCCATGACAAAAGTCATTTGTTTGGAAATGTGAGCGGGGAAACAACACGAGGTTTACATTTGGATCACTCTCTGACGCTCGCAGATGTAATGATGTACAACGCAGCGCTGGTTACGGTGCGGAGTGATGCGGCCGTCCCCGGTGACTGTTGGAGTTGAGTCAGCCTCGTTTTTAGGTTTTTAAGTCATTCACTCTGACTGGAGCTCATTTCTCACTTCCCTCTGGCTTCATGTCTGCCTCCACCTCTGCTTCGTCATGCATTCCCTGCTCCTCTCTCTGCGTCTCTGTTTGTATCATTCATCCACAATAACACTCGGATGGTTTCTTTCTGTCTAACGTTCGGCCCCACATTCAATCCTTTGTACATAGAAAAAAAAAAAAAAAAAAAAAAGTTGCAAAATTCACTGCGACTCCCAAGATACATCTCTGCAAGAAAAGTATAACTATGTACGCTGCTAATGATTTTTCTCCTTTGTAAAGTGACAACAGTTTGAAGCTGAAATCAATAAACTTTGAATTTGAAACACAGTACTTCGATTTGTATTGGCTTTGCCTCCAATTCAAGCCTCTGACTGACTTCTCCATTGTAGCCGAGGTATCGTAGCACTGTAACTTAGAGCCATTGACCGAAAAATATGAATCCTGTACTTTGTAACCTGTTGAAACTTCTGTTGTTCAGTGTTGAGGATTATTTATAAAACATCCTGAATTTAAGGTATGATGTTGGGCAATGATACTTCGGGAACCATCATGAAACTCTGTAAATGACCTGACATCACAGTTTCACAGCAAAATGATCATGTGGACCAGTTTAGAAAATGTTTTTATATGTTTCTGTGGAGTATTTTGTGCAGCTTTTAATTTTCATTTTATATTTTTCTGTACCATTCCCAAATGCTTCATGTGTATCTCGAACAATTACCCCCATGTTTGCTCGTTTTTTATCTTCTTTTCTCAGATTTCTATGTATCTGGAAACATTACTCCTGCTGAATGTTGAATAAATAAATATCATGAAATTATGTATTCATGTACATTACATCACTCGCTCGCATGCAGATTAAATACAAGCATTGCTCCATAGCGCTCCTGGTGGTCATACACTTCACAGACTACCTTTAATGTCTACCCTGATTAATAATGTTGAGCTACAGTTCCTGTTTGGCATTCTGTTGTGTGTTGCTGAGTCATTGTGCGAGGCCTCGTGTCCGTCTGTCTCTCCGTCCATCCGTCCATCTGTCTGTCTGATGGTCTGGTTCACTGCTTTTGATCCCTTGTGTAGGAGGGTCCCTATGTGATGCTCAAGAAGAACTGGGAGATGTACGAGGGCAACGACCAGTACGAGGGATACTGCGTGGACCTGGCCTCGGAGATCGCCAAGCACATCGGCATCAAGTACAAGATCTCCATCGTACCCGACGGGAAGTACGGCGCCAGGGACCCAGAGACGAAGATCTGGAACGGCATGGTCGGGGAGCTGGTGTACGGGGTAAGAACTTTTATTCACTCAACACATTCAGACTTTAGTTTTGATTTGTGACGGTATATAAAGAAAATACTACGATACTGTCTTTAAAGAAATGCATATAAAGCTTGACCTATGAGGGCTCTACACTACTAGTACATTTAAATTATGGTTATGTCTCAAATAGTGGCCAGCACAACATTCTAATAATAATAATAATAATAATAATAATAACTTTATTTGTATAGCACTTATCTAAATGAGGTTACAAAGTGCTTTACATTATCCGTCCAATTGAAGAGACAGATCGTAACATAATAAGGTCGAGACCTTAAGTCTATAAAGAAACCCAACACTTCCCATTATAAAGGCCGGGTACAAAAATATTGATAGAGGAAAACGTTCATGTATTTTTTAGCTCCCATTGAAGAATAATGATCCTCGCTACAGCATTAATTCCAATACAACAACAACACAGACATTTTTATTAGCCGCACTAGCAGCACGGCTCTACAGGGAAAACAGGCTGAAAAATCCCAGCAACTATTGAATTGTTTGTCTTGAAACTTCTGCTTTATACATTGATGATTCTGAGTCTGTGCAGCTCAGCGGGTGGAGCCGAGCTGCAGCACCAGGTCCCGTTTTACAATCACCAGCAACCTGTGGCGCTCGCAGCTCTCAGGTCTGCAGGTTTTAACAGCCGCTTACCACTGTGTGAAGAAACTCAACTTCCTGCAGACGTTTCAGATTAAAAGCCAGGTTGGAACAGAACGAAAGGAAATTGAAATTATAATATTGGTGTACTGCCGTACACGTTATTATGTGCATCAATCAGAAATTTTCTAGACAAAAGATAAAAACGGATGAAATGCTGAGTTTTCGCATCAATCGAAACAGATCTGAAAATGTGACTTCTTATTAAATCAGGATCATATGTAAATCCTGGTTCTCTTCCAGTTATAATAAATACATTGTCTCTCCTCTACCACTATTCAGTAGTACTGAATATAAATATGTTCCATGTGATGTAATATGCAGAATATTGCTTTTACAGCAGGTCTTTGTTGTGTCTGCACAAACACTATTTCTCGATGTGCAGGGTTTGAATTAATCTTCAGTTTGAACACCGCTGTGTTGTTTGTTGTTTGTTGTGTAGATAATTAAACCCATCGGAAATGAAATTGTAAACGGGCTAACCGTCTCTGGTGGTATCAATACTAGCAGGAAGAAGGGAATTAGTGCAGCATTAGAGCAAAGCTTCTTTGTGGGGTTAAAGAGGAGAAGCAGAGGCGTGGAGCTTGTTAAAGAATCTCCGAGGTGAAGGTTTGTTTGAGGTGAGACGTCTTTCTCCTGCTGACTTTGCTGTGGAATCAAACTGGATTCAAGAATGTGGTTTGGATTGATTTTGGGATTTCAGGGTCGAAACGGCAGCAGAGTGAAGAAAGGAGCATATTTGTGAAGTCAAACATAGAAAATCATGAAAAGTGAAAGTTTTGGTCAAATAAAATTGGATTTAGGTTCAGTAAAGGTTTAATTAATAATCCCAGAATGGTCTCAGTCAATAAATGGCTCACCATAGTACAATATGTGTAGTTCTAGTAGACAAACTAAAGTTCTTATTTTGTGATCAGTGACATTTCATCTCAGCTGAGCTTCATTGGTAGCGTCTGTGAAGTGGACTGCAGCGAAGAGGCTCAGTCGAGGGACGTGTCAAGACTGATCAAATGGTACAGTGCACCTTTGGTGTACAGACGGACCAGGCTGGTCAAACACACATGAACAAAAAATGTGTTCTCCGCTATTTTTTACCTATTTAACAAGCAGTGAGAGCAGAAACACCTTCTGTTCACGAAGAGACCGACCTGTCAAAATGTGTCTTGCAGAAATCCCTTCACTTGAACACGTGGATGTATTGAATACAGCCTGTGTTCCAGTTCAGGAGCAACAACCTTCAGAGAACCTCCCTCGACCACAAAGGTTGAACTGAAATGACACTTAATGGTCAACAGAGGAGTTTACTATTTGAATCACCACTGGATCTTTTGTTGCTCGACAATGGAAGGACACATTTGTTGGCAGGATCTGAAGAAGCCTTTGAAATGAGGCAGCCTGGTCGCACCATTGTGATGCCACCGGTCCTCAAATGCAGCCTCCGAAGGATGTGGCCCCTGAATTGGGACGCAGCTGTTGTACTTTGTCCAAATACAGGAGTCAACACAACTGATTTAAACCCTGTCAGGCCAGAAATGTTCCAAATAGATCAGTATGGCTAAACCAAATTGAGACAGTCCAGTGTACAGAAGGTCTGAACTCAAGAACACGCTGTTGTTCGTACGACGTCAGTTGCTTTAATGAGTCTCAGCCACAGCTGCTACAAAGCAATGGTCACCAGTTTTTTTAATAATGAACGTATCTCATGTCCAAGTCGCGCTAAGTTCTGACACTGCTCTTCCTTTGGGCCCTCAACCATACAAAGTGTGACGGCGGTAAGATGAAGGTTTTTCAAGAGATGAAAGCCACAGAAAGTAAAAATATAAAGGATGAATCATCAAAACTTGTGAAAAAGCTCCCTCACTCTGTCTAAGTTGCAAACACAGATTTATTATGCAAAGCTTTGGGTCTAGACCCTCAACAGGCAAACATTTGTGACATTGAGGAGCCATCTTAAAGAGGGTGTGGCCACAGGAAAAAAACAATATATCATAGGAAAAATATAAAAGTAATAAAAGATAAATAAAAACAAGAATGAGATTTAGGGTAAACATTCGAGTTAGGACAAGAAGAGAGGGAATGAAAGATGTTAGATTCCGTGTAAGGTCCTCACAGCGATGGATGTGTGTGGGCTGTGTTTGAAAATGTATGCCGTGCATGAATGTGTCCAGTCGTGCAGGATAGAGTTTGTGTTCGGGGACAGTGTGGAAGCTTTTTCTACAGCGTGCACAGGAACGTCTGAGGACATGGGAGCTGTCAGCACTTTCCCGTCCGCGGCTTCGCTCAGAGACCATTCACGTCTTCCTGGCTCTCCCTGAAAAGCCCTGCGCCGCCACAAAAGCCCTGCCTCCCTTTAACCTGCCATGTATTTCAGCGCACACTAAATGCCCCGAAGCTGTCATCTTAGTGCATTTTGCTGAGGATGAAAGAACTTAAATCTCTTTCATTTTCTTTTCCCTCCTCGTCGCCCATTTTCTCCTTTTCCTGCCTCCTTAAGTGTCAGATGGTCGTAGTGAAACTTTAAATTCTTGCCGTTATTAAGCCCTTTGCTCCCAAACCAGGCGAGCAAGGTCACATAAGTGCTGCTAAGTCACTAATCTGGTTTGTGGATTTCCAAAAAGCCAGTATGCATTTTTTCCCCCCTTCCACAGCTGCAGACCTCAGAGGTAGCTGCATCCCATTTTTCTCTTCCTGTGCTGTAAGCATATTTTTCCGACACATTATTTTATCGTCCCTGCTGATTCCCTCGGAGTTCCAGCTAAGCCTCTCAGCATTAGAGAGGGTCCCAGAATTTTCTTTTTCAATTTCTCTCTCTGTCTGAACTCGATCACTCTGAGGGGAATTCAGCTTCAGAGATTTGTTCAGTCGAGGGAGAAATTCAGATAAAATGACACAAGCTGCAGAACAAGAAACGGGGTAATTGTTGTTGTTGTGTTTTCCGACTGCTGGCGAGCTGCTGGCCTTTGGGATGTCATTTCTGTGACTAAGTGATGTTTGATTGCTGCACAGCTCAGAGAGATGATCCATCATTTGCATTTGTTTATCTGTCATCATTTGGATTTGCTGTAGCTCTCTTCGTGAGTCTCATTCCGACGGCTAATCAAATTCCTCTTCTTCCAAACCCTCATCTGCAGAAAGCGGAAATCGCTGTGGCCCCTTTGACTATTACGTTGGTCCGGGAGGAGGTGATCGATTTCTCCAAGCCCTTCATGTCGCTGGGCATTTCCATCATGATCAAGAAACCCCAGAAATCCAAACCGGGGGTGTTCTCCTTCCTGGACCCGTTGGCCTACGAGATCTGGATGTGCATCGTGTTCGCCTATATCGGCGTGAGCGTGGTGCTCTTCCTGGTCAGCCGCTTCAGCCCGTATGAATGGCACACCGAGGAGCCCGAAGAGGGCACTGACGGTCCGCCAAGCGACCAGCCTCCCAATGAGTTTGGCATCTTCAACTCGCTCTGGTTCTCCCTGGGCGCCTTCATGCAGCAGGGCTGTGACATCTCTCCCAGGTAAGCCACACGTTCCCTCAGCTGTCAGGGACGTTACCCAGTGTTTGCTGCCAAGTCTCACTTCAGTTCCGCCGTCCTCGGGCTGGGGACACATCACATGACCTCCAGGACAGTTGTAATCACAATGTCACATCACGTCCGATTAGATTGTGGCCGTCTAGACGATGAGTGCAAACTTAAATCCCTCGCCTGCCAGTCCAGTTTAGAGGTCCATCATTGATTTAAGTTTTATTGGCAAAAGAGAAACGGGAGCAGTCTGGGCACCGTCCTGTGACAGTGACGAGAAAAAAAACGAATCATTTTAAAACTTGATTTTGTTAAGTCGTCACTGCAGAACCAGATTCAGATAAATGTAACGTGTGTGTGCATCTATACAATACAAGATGTCAAGTTATCCTCGGCTTTGAAAAGTTGTGTGGTGTGTCCTCAACTTGAGGTTTCATTATAAAATGTGGAGATTCATTAGAAATCCTCGAATTCTTCACCATTGTGACTTTTATTGACAATAATGGAGATTGTATCTCAATGTTACATTATAAGAAACATTTCCACTAAAAATAACTATGACTTCATAAAGTACTTTGTACTTTAATGATGTAAAAACCTTTTTAATAACCTTGTTATGTTAAGTTTGGGCATGACTTAAGATTTTGAATTATATATGGTTCTAAATGACTCTAAATTTTTAAATAAAAATACTTTTCCTTTTGGGAAATATGCTTAAGTGCAATCTTTCTGAGAATGAGATGATAAGTCTGATGTAAATCTTCCAGCGGTCACAAAAAGCACTTTAAACACCTTTATAGCTCATTAATTAACAGAGTGAATCTCATTTATTTTATCTGTACACGGTCAGAAGAAAAAGAAAAAGACAGTTTGTCTTGTTCCCAGATGTGAAACCTCCGAAACAACTGACTGATGTGATTGTGTTTCTTTGCACTTAACTCAAGAACAGCAGAGGCTGAAGTCATTATGATCCTCAGGGATCTGAAATTAATGTCCGAACCAAATCAGATGCCACATTTCACAAAAAACAAACAAGAAAAAACGTCAGCGTCATGGAGCTCCTGAGGAAAAATCAGCACATCACTAAAATCATTTGGATTCACTATTTGGGAATCATGATCGTCAGAATACAATTTCATGACGATCCAACAGATGGTTGACGAGATATTTTAGTTTATGGGCTTCAGATATGTTACGAGGTGTTTTGTTGAATTGGCTGATGTGACTTTCCCTTTGCTTCCAGTCTTAATGCTAAGCTAAGCTAAATGTCAAACAGAACAGAGGTTAGATTGATATCAGTTGTTCCATCTCACAAGAAAGCAAACAAGCATATCTACAAAAAAAAATTCAAACTAGAGCTCGACTGATGAGGATTTCTTTTTTGGGCCAGGTAACGATATCGGAGAGCAAATACTTATATATCTCCAATACATACAAACCTTATGATAAAGAAAGTAATTGTAATTTGATAATTTATACATAAACTTTGCAATGAATAATTATTAATAAAAAGAAAAACAAATATATGTGACCTGAATACATATTTTCTGTTTTTAGTTTTCATAGCAGCAAACATTAACACAGATAAAAGTCTCATATCTGCCAATTACTGTCGGTCGGGCTCTAAATGAATTCCTGTTTCTCGGATGTTAACACATAAGTTTTCTTCATGTGTCACTGATGATATAGTGTTTGTTTTATTTAAGTTATATATATATATATATATATATAGTAGAAGTATATATATACCATAGTATACTGCACATTCTTCTTTATATCGCTGCATGACGACTTTAATACAAATGCTTTAGTATCAGGAACTGTCTCATGTGTTGCACCACAGTATCTGCTGCTCGTGCTGTGTGTACATCTTTACCTCACACCTGTTGTGTGTATTCTAGCTGTGTATTTGTGTGCGGTAGAGAGGAAGTGTGCGTTTCTGCTAGTATTGATTTCTTTTGTCTCTCTCCCTGTTCTCCGGCCATATTGTAATTCACAGTCTCACCCTCATTCAGTGTGTTGTCTACTTGTTAGGGAATTAGCTCGTCTCCGTGTCTGACAGTCGCCGCTTCCCACTCGTACGCCTCACGTCTTGTGCATTTGAGTTCCAGTTACATCAGCGACCTGTGAATGCACCGTCTGCTCCACATTAGAAAAACCTGTGTGATTCATTAAGAACACACTTAAAAAGGTGTCGTCCTGTCACTTCCACATTGTCTGTGACTTCTCTTCCCTTTTGTCCAAATTACAAAACCCAAACCAAGCGTCCCCCGGGGCTTCGGACCAGTGGACTCCAGTAAACGTACTTTGGTGGAAGGGCGGAGAACTGCGGCTTTTACCGTTTTCTGTGTTGCCATGTTTCTCTCCAGCCTCTATGTCCCGGTCATCTTTGTTCCTGCAACCAAAGATCAGGCTTCTTGTCCGTCATCGCTCAATGACATTCCCTCTGTTACTGTCAAACCTATAGAGTGTTAAAGCCTGTAATGGCGTCTCCGTGTCTTTAAAGCTGTTCTCAGCTGTTTGAAAGGCTTTGTCAAGCTTAAACTTCCTGCTCATGGATTGTTTGGGTTATTTTAAGCAACTGTTAAAATGCCTCCTATAGCTATTTTAAGTCTTTTATATAACACGTCTTATATCTGCTTGAAGCCCGTATGGCTGTTGTAGTGAAATAGAGTTGGTAAGATTTTAAAGGATGAAAAGCAGACCTGTATCTTTCAGCCTCCCCCCACACCGGAGGAGAAACACACAAGATGGAGGATCCCGAGGCACATTAGAGAGCCTTGGAAATTATAGCCCGGCCTCACGTAAGCAACCTATAGAGGAGACTACAGTGGCCCTGTGACTGTGATTAAGCGCACTCATTCAAGGAGTACACTCGCTTTGTTCACATGTGTGCAGACCACCCCGCCCGCCACCATCACCATCTCCACCTGTGTACCGTAGATAAGGACTTTAGAGCCGCACAACAATGTCGGCGTCAGAGTGAAAAGTCTACATTTCAACCATCTCTTTCTCCGCCTGTGGTCCCCGCTGCATCCCACCTGTCACCGCTAATCCCATGGGCCTCTCCCGATCCATCAGCACCGACCCCCGGAGCTCGAGGAGGCGCATCCACTCCAGTTTAGCCTGACAGGGCAACATGCAAATCCCCCGCACACAGGGGGGATTAGATGGTGTGGAGGGAGTGACAAGGGCAGAGGTGAATGGGACAAGTTTGGCGTTCGAGAGCCGCTTGTGCTCGCTCATGCGTGGGTTACAGTCGGGAGACATGGCCAGACGCTGAGATGTCAGGCCATGTACAACACGCCTTCTTAAACTTTAGGTCATCCACATGTTCATACACCACAAATCACATGAGCCGGAGTGCTCATGCAGAGATCATTTTATTTTGAACATTTGTATGGATGTTGCCTTAAACTATATTACGCATCCATCCAGTATCCTGATCTCTCTTCTTTTACTTTAAACTGCACTAGATCAATACTTGAAGTTGTGTCCGTCCTCTGAGACGAATGTAATTCTCCCACTTTTCATGTAGACCTCTTGTTTTTTTTACTCATGACACAGCACTGACAAGAATTGAGAATTTGAAATCCCACTGAACGTCTTCCTCTCCTCTCTCTGCTCAATAAGGGTTAATACCTCCCTGTGCTTCCTCGAGGCAGCCCATATTAATTAATTCAGTGATTAATATCCCGGTCTCCCATGGTAATGTCTCCGTGGAAACAGGGGTGCATAAATGAAACGGTGACATGATCGTCTTTTTAATTGACTACAAAACCCAGATGAATGGGGGTGAAGTTTATCTGGCGTTTTCTCCCGAGGCTGCCGGATGTCACATCACATGTCAGAGCATGTCAATACGGATATCTCGCCATGTGTCGTCAGGTGAAATCTGCACCAGGTGTTTCCAGTCGCTTCCGTCCCGTTGCTTCGGATGGATTATCTTCGTCTCTCCGCTGAGTCACAGACGCCACATCTCTGGCGAGCTAATGAGAACGCCGCGATGGGCTTGATTAGTCCTGATTAGCTCGGAGCGCGTGCACACTGGTGGCAAATTTCCTGATGTCTGCAGATGAAGCATAACTTTTAATTTCAGTCTTGAATTTAAGCTGCGTTTGAAAAGGAGAAATGACTTTCAAGTGCTCTATCTGCGAGATCCCCATTATTCTATTAATTCACTGCCAATTAGCTTTGTTATCCAGCTGACACGCTGCTGTTCTGCTGCATCACGCTGATGTCAGCAGCGCTCGTCCTTCCTCGCTCTCGCCGGATTTGGCGCACTTTTCTTGCAAATCCTGAGGCACCGACCGCATCTATGTAGAGGGCAAGAGCCGAGTTTGTGTTTTCTGCTCCGATATCAACGAGTCAATAATGATGAGCTTTCATCAATATCTATAAATTAACTTAATTTTCTGCAGAAGAATTTCATCTTCGGACCCGATAGCCGATAGGGTGCTTATCAAATGGACGCACCAGCCTTGGACTGCAGGTCTCGGGTTTGACTGCGAGCCAGCCGGACCATTTCCTGCCTATCGCTCCTCCACTCTCCTGTCCCAGGTGCAATACGCCTCTCGCCAAATGTTGGCTGGGATTGGCTCCAGCCCTTCCAGGATCGTCAACGGAGAAGATAATGGAATAATAATAGATAATGGCTGGATGGAATTTAATTTTGAAAATGCTCAGATTCATCTGTTCGGTCCCGGTGAAGGTCCAGATGGTGAAGCACCATTGTTTGGGTCATTTGGACCTGCAGAGCCTGTAGTTTCCAAAGAATCCCCATTATCTGGTCGGCTTTTAATATGAAAATCCTGCAGGAAAGGTTTCACTCTCAGTTGCTTATGAGCAGAACTAGAATAATACACAATTATTATTCTATATTCTATAATAAGACTCTATAATTAGTGAAAGAAGCATATGACTGAGTATATTAATGGAATAATTCAAAGGACATTACACTGTATTTACCATGTGAGCTGCTCCAGTAACAGTGTTTCCGCCCCAGCCACTGATTTTTACACAACCTTTATAATCGTCCGTGTCTCTTTCTGCTTTATATTTAAAGATATACGTGAATATGCATATTTAGTTAGAGGAGATAGAGGAGCGAGGCTGAGGACGGGACGTGGAGGAAAGGATCTGGAGTGACAGTTTCTCTGCGATGAATTAGTCAGAAAGTGTGGTCGCCCCGGGTATCACCCCGATGAGCTCCTCCTCATTTATTTAAACTCTGCTCAAGGACAGAGCCCCCCTCCCCAACTCCCTCCATCTCCTGATTCACTTCGTCACCTTCTCCACTTTCTTCTCTTTTCTCTCCGTCCCACAAACCTGCAGACACACGAACTCGGCAGCATCATCTCCGACATCAGCGTTTAATTTCTCTTTTTTTCCCACATCAAAAGAAATAAAAGAGCGATTCAGGGACTCTGAGCTTTAAAGTTTGTTTCCTCTCATCACAGTGATGGCAGATGATTCGCTGACTGGTCAGGAACGTGAACCTTATTATCTTTAATCCTGAGATGAGATTTATTTTTGCTTTCATCTTGTTTTTTTGTCCTTGAAATTTCATCTAAGCTCCTGAATCTTATTTTCTCTTTTATTGGCTTCCAATGGAGAACGCAAACATGATTCCACGTTGTGACATGTCACATACATACAGTATTATATATGTACTGTAATACTCCATATGCTGATGCTAACAAATTTGAATATTCTAGATTTGCATTTATAAAAAAGTTTTTTTGTTTAACTGTGCAAAAGCCTGGTAACTGATTAGATTACATTGATAAACTACACATTGTTATTTCAGCTGTGTGAGAGCAACACTGCAGGTTATGTATAATAATGTAAATGAGATTGATTTTATAGGTAACCTTGTTTTTGTGAATTCACATAAGTTAAAGTTATATAGATGAATATTGGTCAGGTGTCTCATTTAAAATTTGTAGAATCCTGCCTCACGATAACTTTACACATCAAGGTTCATTTTCTAAATTGCTGCAGAAGAAATGCCACCTCCCCAACATGCACACCATGCCAGCTACATTACATCTCTCCTGTTCCATTTAATACATACAAATTAGTTTCAATTAGTCAAATTAGCCATTAGGAGGGAAAGTGCTGACTAATTACTGTGTAATTACTAAAATTATTCTTTTTTTTTTATACATTTAGCATTTTTAAACCCTGAGGTTTGCTGGACTGAAGAATCCCGTTCCCCCAAAACACTGGAGACAATTTCTGTTTTGTCTCCATTTTATTTCTTCCAATACTTTTCCATCCTGACTGGTTCTCTTCTCTCCTCTTATGGGAAAACTGAGCTCGTACATCATTATAGTCAAGTTCTCCCCAACGTTTTCACACAACATCTGTAACTGCAGTTGAACATGTTTCGATTTTCCTATTCTGCTTTTTTTTAGCAGAGTTATATCGTGCATAAAACACTTACCTCACTCGTTAAAGTACATCCAGCTTATTACTCAGAATATAACAGATCATCAACACTTCTCATAACCATCACAGCTGAAAACATCTTCTGGCTTTCATTGCTCCTTCACCCGTCTTTTCTAATATCAATTATTCTTTTTATTTCCTCACTTATTGCCCTGTACTCATAAAGGTTACTGGATATACATGTATCCTGTATACTCTAGCAAATAAAGTCTGAGCATATTACTGCCTAGTACCATCAACTTTTATTCTCTTAGAAATACATTACAAACACATGAAGCTATCGTTTATTTTGATTAAATAACTCTGTCCTGCTGCTGTAAACACTCAAACTGAGTATTAAGTACTGAGCCGAGCCCAAGATCAGGGTAGCTAAAAAAAGATTGAATGAGAGAAAAACTTTCCTTTCAAAAACGCGATGAGTCAAAACAACTTTATGTACCTGAAAGACTTTGTGCAGACGAAGAGCTGATGCCACAAATCTCCTGTTTAAGACCAACAGACACAGTTTAGACCCTGAAATCAATGAAGTAGTCAACAATTAATAATGAAAAATAAATCTTGGATAAATGACATCACACTTCCTCTTAGCGGACAACGGAAACGTTTAACGATCGCTCCAGCTGCGAGTCGACCCTCCATTGTGATAATATATGTTCAGGAGATCCATTAGCATAGTGTATTACCATCATCAATTCAAGGTTAATAGAACACGCTGACGACATTGACGTCACACACACACACACACACACACACGCACACACACACCTCCCCCCACCCTCTCTGTTTACTGCAGGCCCAACAAGACACAGCAGTGTGTCACTGTGGATCAGACTCAGCGGAATCAAGCCAGGAAACACAGTTCAGAGGGTTAGAGGGACTAGAGACACTCCTCCTCTGGTCCCATACACTCCCACAATCCTCTGCTGCTGCTGCGGAGAAAAATAAGAGTGAAAGAGAAAGGATGAAGACGCTCTGATAGAGAGAATGAGGGGATTTGGGCAGGTAGGAAGAGGGAAATAAGCCGCACGAGAGGATAGGACCCATCCCTTTACATCGTCATTATTTTACTGTTAAAGTCTTTGTGCGGAAAAGACGCAGAACGTTGTCTCAAGGAGAAAAATAGAGTGAGGGGAGAGAAAGAGAGGCAAGTCATTTGTATTCAAATCCTGAGCTAATACGTCAAGAAAGTCTATTTCATGGGCAACGCTTGCTCTCAGTGTGTGTGTGTGTGTGTGTGTGAGAGAGACATGCACTACTGCAGCTCTTTCTATATAGGAAGTTGCCTCAGCCGCTACAGGCACTTTCATCAGAACCGACCGAGAAAACAAAGGTTTCCTCAGCGATTCTTTGGTTAAAGTGACGATTGTGCGTAAAGAGCAGCGTCGGCAGAACGCTGCTATTTGTTGAAATGTAGAGTAAAGCAGCTCAAATGTTTCTACAGCGTGTTCTGCAGAGGAGCAGATAATAAAGGTTCTTTCACGTGTTTGAGCACTGGGCTGCAAAATATAATTTTAAGCGACACAATTCAAGATTCACTCTCATCTACCGGTTAATTCCATGGTGTAAATACAAGCTGAGCCTGAATACTTTGACCCTGAGAACAAATCATAATGAATTATTTGGTTAACTTGGTTTACCTGGTATCTGATGACAGACTTGCGGGTCTGTCAGCAGCACGACGAGGGAGAAAAGATAACAGCTTCGCCGACTTCTGTGTAAATGCTGTCGTATATAAGTGGTATGCATCTTTAGGAGGCTGCATTTGACCCATGATCCATTGCACTTCAGTGACAAGCTGTTTTTTAGAGGACAGCAATCCAGGGGGGCGTTAAAACCTTCTCGTCGTGACCAACTCTATTGCTCGGCAACAACAATAAATCTGTCAACCAGGCTCAGTCTCATTTTGGTTCGGCCTTTGCAGTCCGTGTCCTCTGAAGGATGCAGCCCCTGAATGCAGGCACAGATATAATGTATGTACAAACCACAACCCAGAGTAGAACAGTAGCATACGAGCCAACAAGCTAGCACAGCAAGCAAGTAGCCGACGCAGTTATCGATGTCTTGAGTACGATGTGATAAACTTCACTTACAAGCAAAAGTTTAGACTTAATGTCCATTAACAACAGCTGCAGGTCTGTTCTTAATCCTTTGGCGTATTTTCACGCTCACCAACGAGTGATTGCTCGGGACACTTTCTTTTCTTCCTCCTCGCACTCTTCTGTTTTCTTCTTTTAAGTTTGTGTATCATCTAAATGATCTTGAAGCCGTTATTCTGAGGTATGAAAAATACCTAGCATTGCTTTAATGGAGAGAAAGGATGTTACCTATGCAAGCCTGCAAACTGTGAACATACATGCACATGACAGGACTCCAAGAACAAAGTCCCGGTGTGTATTGGGAACAATGGGATGTGGCCAGATTGCAATAAGACACAGTTGAAATACCAGCCAGGAAAACACTGACTGTTGGCAGACGCCTCTCTCTCCTCCCCTCCGCACACCCACCATCGCTCTGCCCGTCTCTCTATCTGACAAGGAGGCCTGAGGGTTTTGTATCCTCTGCTGTTTGACTTGCACCGAGGGGAGATCTTGTTTGTTCTCCTCAATGCAGCATTTATGGCTTAAGATTCTCCTCACGACCTTCCGAGCTATCTGTCTCCCCCGAGCGAACAAACAAGAAAAGAACAGTCCCTCGCCACGCTGGCCGGAGCCCTGCAGCTCTGTTACCCCACCAATAAACGGAAAGAGGGGTTTGGGATGGAGGGATGACGGTAGTGTACTTCGTGTTTAGTGTAGGTGGTCAACACGCGTGTGGAGGATTGTGTTTTATGAGGCAATCTGCACTAATGAAGGATAAATACAGCTGTGGGAGGGTTGAGTGTTGTCAGAGCTCCCCCTTGTGGTGGGAGATCTTTATTTCTTCTGGTATCCAGAGCTGGTCTCCTCATGCTTAACTCAATCATTCCCATTCTAATTGTCTGATTTATCACTTTGTTATCCAGCAGTTACTGACTGTTTCTTTCTTTCTTTATCTCACTCTCCTCTCCTATAATTTTACCTTTACTTTCTGGCACTTCCTTCCTTTACTTCCCTCCTTCCTCCACAATATTCCTCCTTTTTCCTCCACCTACCCTTCTCTCTGCAAGATCGTTGTCTGGACGAATCGTAGGTGGAGTGTGGTGGTTCTTCACCCTCATTATCATCTCGTCCTACACGGCTAACCTGGCTGCCTTCCTCACCGTGGAGAGGATGGTGTCCCCCATCGAGAGCGCAGAGGATCTGGCCAAGCAGACCGACATCGCCTACGGGACTTTGGACTCGGGCTCAACCAAAGAGTTCTTCAGGGTGAGTTGGTGTTGCTGGGGTTAATGGTTCACTCTCTTACAGGTAGGGGGCAGCCACGCAGGACTCACATCGTTAACAACCCAGAGGAAATGTCTGAACACACATAAGGAATCTGTTCAGGTCTTTAAGGAAACTCTGTGGCCCAGAAATCATAATCATGCTGTATTTTAGTTAACAGCAATTATTAGTCATGAGGAGTTGTTCCTTACATAAAGGAAACTAAAAATAAAGCAAGATTAAAGAAAGTATAGAGACATTAAACAATTGTGAATAAAATATACTACAATACTTTATGATAAAAGTGATTTATGCAAAAATTCTATGTCAAAATTACAATAACTGTATTATTATTATTATTATTATCATTTTAGTTGTTTTTGTACCTAGATATGAAAATAGCCGAAAGGAATAAACTTGTTGATATTGATATTTTTGGCTTTGGAAAAAAGCTGGTTAAATGTTGAACTTTTCTCGACATGCTGTTGGATGTTTTTTATCTTCTCACCACATCTACCTCTGAACCTCCCTCCAAACCCCCCAGAGGTCAAAGATCGCCGTCTACGAGAAAATGTGGGGCTACATGAAGTCGGCCGAGCCCACCGTCTTCACCAAGACCACGGCGGAGGGTGTGGCGCGGGTCCGCAAGTCCAAAGGGAAATACGCCTTCCTCCTCGAGTCCACAATGAACGAGTACACTGAGCAGCGCAAGCCGTGCGACACAATGAAAGTTGGAGGCAACTTGGACTCCAAAGGCTACGGAGTAGCTACACCCAAGGGTTCACAGTTAAGGTGGGTGGAATAGTGTAACAATATGTGCTACGTGTTGTTATGGTATTCCACCTTCCCTGGTGTGCCGCCTTTTCTCTCTTTACCTGTCTCCGCTTTCTGCTCGGTGTGGGGGGGGGTGGGGGCGTTTGGCTTTTTGTTTCAGGGCAGAAGTTTTTGCCTTTTTCACATCTGTGTTTGTTGCATGCATGTGGTGGTGATGGGGGCGGGGTGCTGTGATGATGCAGTGGTGGTTTTTTATTTCATTTGTTTTTTCTTTACAGCTCTCCACACCAGGTAAATCTTTGTGCTTGTGCTTGCTTGTCTGGGCCGACATGTTGGAATGGCATGCTTAACTGAAAATGTCTCATTCAGATTTAAGATAATCAGCATTTTTTTTAATTTTATGTACAGATTGAATTAGTTTGTGATATTGAGCTTAATGCTTCTCCAGCTTTCCTTCACAGCTGACTGGTTCTTTCTTCTCCGCTAAGTGACCGACATTGTGTTTTGGGAGCCATTTGAATGCTCGGCCCTGGGTAACGCTGCCAGACTCTGTCACCGCCTCCCGAACATAGAGGAATTTACAGACCTGCCACAGAATACAGTGTCATTACTGTGGGGAGTTGCACTTTCAATCCGCACGCTCATCGATCAAAGCCGCCGGCAAGGTCTCACTGAAGGGAACTGATAGATATACTGAAGGCAAAAGTACACAGTGTGTGTGTGTGTGTGTGTGTGAGAACAGGCAGCTACATGATTGCTTGAACTTTCATTTATTTCTTCGGAGGAACAAGAAAATTGTTGCTCCATCAGTAAATAGATTATAGTAGAACATTGCTTTCATTGATCACATGTAATGTGTATTGGAAACAAAAGCCAAATATTACATTTTATTATCCTCCGTAAATTTGTACCTGGAAAGCGAGGATGCTGGAAGTGCTCAGGGATCTGCAGCGCCCCCTACTGGCACAGGGCTGTAACTCCAAGCCAACAAAAGTTAGCTAAACAATTCAAAACTAGAATCACACTTAGTAAAGTGCACATCTCCAGTGAGACTTAACATTACCCTTAAACTCCAGCTAGCAAACATTACGTCATCTCAGCTACACTTCAATAGTTTTATTTACAGGTTTGTAACTTGTTATTTTACAGCGGCCGGAAAATGCGTGTACACTTATGAAACCACATTTCAATCCACTAGATACACATTGTTATTTTGATCGGTACTAAATATAATATATAGATATCAATCCCTTAAAAATGCCAGATTTTTTTCTTCAAGATTAATGTACTATTCTCTGGGAAATCAGAGAAAATGTAAAAAAAAAATCCCTGATCTGGTTTCTTTAATTTTCAAAAATTGTTATAAAATGTTTAAAATCTTTCAAATTGATTCAAAAATCCAGATTGTAGCGTTGCATTTCACACAAAGTCGCGACTTCCAGCGGTTGGAAACCAATCTACTCTGAAAGGAGCCAACTCCTCACAGCAGCTGAATCAAACCCTGGTCTCTGTAAACTCCTCTTCTCAAACCCGAGGTCGAGCAGAGCGGCTACTGGTTTTTCACGTAGCCGAGCCGGTGCCAGTTTACAGCCACTGCTTTGACCAGGACGAGTCCCTGACAGATCACGGTAGTCTCCTCCGTCGGCCGCTGTTTTCGGGGGATTATCGTCTTCTGTCAGTCACTCGTCCAGATTTCACACTGTTGGTCCGAGCTGTTATTTCACATGGTTCCTCAAACACACGTCACCGGCTTCAACTGAGATATCAGCTTTGTTGCTTTGTGTTTCTCATCATCTCCATTTCTGACTGTTTTATTTCTTTGATTTCTCACAATGACACAAATAAATTAAATGAATCAAAACGCTCGCCGAGGCAAATCTCTCTCTTCCCCTCCGCTATCGTCGGACATCAGCAGCCTTCAAATAAACCCATGAAACTGTGACGCACACGTATTTTAAAAACAGCTTCACAGACATTTTCTAAAAGTCAATCAGGATTTTCCAGAAGAGCTTAAAGCCGAGAAATCCTGTGAGCGTTGAATTGGCTGATATTCATTCTCTATGTACATGTGTAAAACACGTAGAGGCTTTGGCAGGCGCTGGCTGATGTGGATATTTTGGGACCAACGATGCTGATTGCCAACGTTTAGTGCCAATATTTAATGTTTTAAATCAGTATTTGTACTAAATGAACTCTAAATGAAGTATTGTTTTACATTATTTTTGTCTTTGTTAGGGTAAATATTCCTTATTTTCTATATTGTGTAGGATTAAATCAAAATGCCACATTAAAATCAACTCAGCGTATTATGGAGTGGCTCCCAACCTTTCAGGCTTGTGACCATTTAAAGCGAATCAATGTTTATGGGACCATTAGTCAAAGGTCCAGCAGTTCAGCCACAGACTGATGTTCTCTGGTTGTTTGTTTGGTTTTAATGGATATTTGAGGCTTAAAGACGTAAAACTATTCCATTAAAATTCAGAAGATCACCAACATCTTCAGGAATCATCCTCTGGGGACAATGAACATCTGTTCCTTTAACTTCGTAGACATTTTAAAAAAAATTTGTGGAGCAGTAAATCAATTAGTGCTAATTGATTATAGGCTTCCTTCAATTACTTTTGTTAAACCTGTTTTTCATCCTGGAGTTTTTGAAGCTTTGCATCTTAACTGAGGTTTCACTCGGTTAAAAATAACAATTATGTGAAGATAAGTTATCAGCTCCATCAGCCCTGGAGTTTCCAAATGAAATCAGGGCAAGCTCCATTTTCAAACTGCTGTTTGAGGGGCTGTTAAACTCTGGGGTGGTGTGGACGCCAGGCGTATCTGTAGCAAGTAGTATAATATTATATGTGTACTACAGTGTAGTTATGTGGATGTAGCCTGAGAAGCTTTCTAGTTTAATCTAATGCCAACTTTTAAACCCTGTGTGATGAGCGATAAATCCGTCTCCAGCTAACGATGTTGCAACCTGATGTATTTAAAACAATGTAATCATATGATAGTTTTATCTACATATGTTTCAAATGATACATTTTGCATAATTTCAGAAGTAGATGTCAGAGTTTAAATTGGAAAAAACAAGTATTGTCCGTTAAGATTTCTCACAGGACATCATGAAGGAGAGATTTGTGTTCAGCGTGTGTTTGGGTTCTGTGATGGGATGTACGTTTATAGCATTAATGCATTTTTACACCCTTGTCCCTCTCTTACTGCTACCCCCCCCCCTTCTCTCCCTTCCCTCCCAAATTGGACGTCATATACTCACCCCCCCTCTCACCAAATATGTTTTATCGTTTTCAAGAAGTGCAGTTAACCTGGCAGTGTTAAAACTCAATGAGCAAGGCCTGTTGGACAAATTGAAAAACAAGTGGTGGTACGACAAAGGAGAGTGTGGCAGCGGAGGCGGTGGTGAGAAGGTTAGCTGCTATGTCGCTATGCCCATGTGAACCTTGATGCGGGTAAAAGATGTGTTTTTCTGCTGGTAACAGGAGCATCTGCCGGGTCGACTGCTGGCTAGAAAACTGCAAATGTTTTAGTCCCGAGAGAAGAGCGAGTACTGTCGAAGCAAAAATATTTGCTAGTGTAGCGATGGTAGCGAACTTCTACGGACTCTGAAAGTTTGGCCTTAAGCGTCTTTAGTGCACTACACAAAATTAATACGTAGGACTTAATAGAATCAGACAGTTTTGGGCTAAAAATCTCTGAGCCAATAGTTTTGGGTCGACAGTAGTAGCCGTCATACTTAAAGTAAAAAAAAGTCCCGGCAGTATGCGCCCGTTCCAGAAAAGCGATGCAGCCGGGGCCCCATGCTTATATGTCTGTTTCGCTCCGCCCCTCCCCCTTTAATAAAGCCCGACCCCCTGTAAACGACAATCTCCACCAACGAGCAAAGAGACATGTAGCGTGAGTGGGGCCCCTTCCCGGCTTCGTCACTTTATGAAGAGTACTGAGCTGCTCTTGTTGGGCTTCTTCTGACTGAATAACATAAAATAACATGTCCTATGATGTTATTTATGTTATTTCCCCCCCCACCCTCCCCCCTGTCCCTCGTGATTTGAAGAACGCCTGTAAACCTTGCCGTATTGAAACTGAGTGAAGCAGGAGTCTTAGACAAACTGAAAAACAAATGGTGGTACGATAAAGGGGAGTGTGGACCCAAGGACTCGGGAAGTAAGGTCAGTCCCCAGCAGCCCGGGAGCCTCCCCCTCTCCTCTCTTTTTGTCTCTCTACATGCACACTTGTATGATGCTGGCGGTACTGTTACTACAGCTGCCTGGCTGACATGACGCACACACTCTGAGAACAAGCGAGTGACAGACGCAGGTAGAGACTTGAGGCGTAGCCGGAGGGACACAGCATGACAGCAACAAGGCTTGACGCAGTGCGAACACTTCTACAGCAGCTAAGCTATATGTGCCGCAACTGCAGATGAAGACTCACACTCACACCGGTTGAAGTCCCAGGGCATGTTCATACACACTAGACGTCAGCGGTACTGTATTTCTCAGCCGTTAGCAGCACGCAGAAGACTGATCCACGTTGCCGATGCACCGAAGCATGAAGAGAGAGCGCGAGAGAGAGAGAGAGCGGCCACGTGTTAGACAAAGCAGCATGCACGGTCCACATCCGTCACGTCCTCGTAATCAGATCCCGAAGCGCAGGACACACACTCCATCACCTGCAAACGAGAGCAGGCAGAGCAGACAGTCGTTTGTGGCGAGGTAATAAGTAGAGCGGCCTCTCAGGTGATTCATCCAGAGGGAGATAAACAGCAGGGAGGAGCTCAGACACATCATCTGCATACATTTAAATAAAAGGCTTGAAAAAGGTGAAAGTCAGGAGTTAGAAGCAGAGCAGGATAATTAAAGGACAAGTTTGTCCAACAACTAGAAAACATATTTCTTCATCAGCATCCGGTTGTATCCAGACATGCAGATGGTTTTGATATTTAAATATCAACAGCTTAGACAAATCCACAAAAACACACTTCCAGCTGATTTTATAGTGACTCTCGCTATAGTAGAGCGTCATTTAAAACATTTTAAACATTTTAAACTATGTGATTTCGATTTTCATGACAGAAATATTTTTGGTAATCGACTCAAACATTGGTTCTAGATCATTGAATGAATCGAAAATGTCAATCAGTCAAACTTGACTGAAAAAACAATGGATGAAATAAAAAAGTTTTTTAATATCAAAAATTTTGTAAAACAAATAAGAATAAGATATGTAATTTGAATTAAAGTTCAACTGACGCCACAATGTCCAGAAGAACATCCACACACCTGAAAGTTTCTGCAAAATAATTGTATTTGTCGCAGTGATGTTTGGAGTTTTTAAAGACCTGTGTTATTTCGTGGACGGGTGAACATTTTATTTAAATGTAGGAAACAAGAATAAACACACTGAAAAAATAAGAAGTTGAAAAATTAAAAAGAAGTTCAGACTTATGAGTCATTATACATTTTTACAACATACATTTTTTTCACTTGTCTGAATTGTTACCGTCTCACACAGATTACAACCAAGGTTTTATTCGACCCAGCACGAACAGTGAGACATGATCTAAATACCATTAAATTTGCTTTGTGAATTATTCAGAGTAAGTGAGACGTTGATTCTGCACCACAACACGTCCACTGTCAAGAGTCAGAGGCGAAAGATGCAAAGGTGCATATTGTAAAACCTGCATAAATAAAACAGAACTATCTGCATCTCCTTCAGCTCCGGACTTAAATATAAAAACAATTAGTTTAAACTGCAGGCAGATAATTATTCTCTAAAAATCAGGATCATAAATTTGTTAGCGTCGATAAACTGAGTTTGAGGTAGAGAAGTGAAATGTTCAATTCTGTGTGACTGTGATCTGTGTGTGTGTGTGTGTGTGTGTGTGTGTGTGTGTGTGTGCATGTGCATGCATGATGTGAATTGATGATATTGTGTTATACGTGTGTAACTGCGATTGTTTGCTCTCCGCCTCTGCTAAAGCTCCCGTTGACTTTTGTTCCTCTCCTCGTCGGCCGCAGGACAAGTCATCCCAGGCCCTCAGCCTGAGCAACGTGGCGGGGGTCTTCTACATCCTGGTCGGGGGCCTGGGCCTGGCCATGCTGGTGGCCCTCATCGAGTTCTGCTACAAGTCGCGCAACGAGGCCAAGAGAATGAAGGTGGAGGCCCAATCCCCATCCCAGTCTCCCCATTACCACCACTCCCACCTCCACTGCTACCCCTGCCAGACAGGCAGCCCACGCCATAGCCCCGAGCCTAGCCAGAGTCCGAGGCCCAGCCCCAGCATCCACAACTTAGCCGAGTTTAGCGAGGTTTTCAGTGGGTACGGCAGCGACGGGGAAGCTGATAAGATGTAGTGGGGGTTTTCGTAGGAGGTCCGCCCAAGCCTTTGCTTCCCCCTATCTCCCTCACTAGCTCGCTGCACAGAGACTGTAAGTGAAACCCATCGTATCCCTGTGCTAGCTTCGCCATGCTGTGTCGTGACCAGTGGCAAAAAACGCTTCCCACTTCTCTGTCCTATCTGCTCACTTTGTGGTCATGTGACGTCCTGGTCTGCGTTCTAGCTTCTCTCTCTCCGTGTGGCAGGAAGCAGCGAGTCGTCCTCACACGTGACGTCACTTCTGCTGCTTCACGGCTCGTGTGGCTGCAGACGTTGGGCCTCATTTATCCCGCGGACACGCTGTATGAGCCACTTTCCTGCCAAAATCTAAAAAAGGCATCACTCACTCTGAACTAAGTGGGAAGATAACGCTCATGCCCGACGCTGCTCGAATAAATTAATCACTGTTGGAAATGCAAGATAAACTTCATGATTGATCACTGAATCAAAATGCTGAAAAAAACGCTGAAAAATGTGATATTTTTGAGTTAGTAAAAATGGGAGAATGGAAACTCATGGTCACACAGATTAAGAAAGCAGCGGTGGCGTAATTTCTCATCTTAATCGCACATTTGTCTCTGAGGAATTTGTTAGACGTCAACATGCGTTTCCACAGTAAATGAGGACCAACGTCTTATTTGTACACACACGTCTGTTGCGAGGACCTTTCATTAACGTCTATTCTTCTCCTCTGAAGCTTCAGTGTTTTCCCATCAAAACCTCTAGAACCTTGTGAACCTGGAACGTACATGCTGCAGCTCAGGGATGTTATTGTCTCAAGTCTTGTCAGGTACAATCGACAGAGCAAATCTAATAAGAAACCAGCCCTGAGTGCTCAGGAAACCCTCTATAATAAAACCATTTCAACACTATATATTGTCAGGCTAACGTAAACACAAGCTGATATTGATGTGAGGTTTTTTTTTCTCCAGATATTTCCCTCAGGTCCACGACACCTTCAGACACCTTCCCTCCTCTCAGTGTATATCTGTGCTACGTGGTTATGTGTCCCCCATCAGCTCTTCATTAGCTTCACTGTTGCTTAGTCAGCTTCCCTGTCCCACTGCCTGCAGCTCTCACTCACTGTGTAATGATTCCGCTGCTAATGGGGTCACATGTAGAACGGGGCTGGCTTCATCTCGTAGTGAATGGCTATGAAAGGCGTTTTCTGACCACACTGCTGTATGTACATGTATTGATATAGTTTTTTAAATGTACAGTTGTACTTTTACTGTGAGGCTTTTCTGATTGTTTTTTTTTTTTACATGAGGCAGATTGGAGTTCTCGTTTAAATTTTTGTGAACACTCCGTACAAATACTTTTTGGAAGTTTATTATGTAAGAGTATTGGGATCAGATGTCAGGAAAACAAGCAGTTGTAGAAAGATTTATTTCACTTTGTGTTTTCAGAATGAAGTCGAAATGTTGACAATTAAGTTCTGTTGAACACGAAGTATAAAGTTCTGACAATTCGAATAAAATTAAAATGTCAAGAATGACGTCAAAACATTGAAAATTTAGCAAAACCACATTGTGGGAATTTTTGGGGGCATTTTCAAAATTATCATCGAGAATAAAGTCAAAACATTGATAAGGTTGAAAAGTTGAGAATCTTTTGTTGAATCATCAAGCATAGAGTAAGAAAGTTGCAAACTAAACTTCAAATCTGACTTAAATTCACTATGCACATTTTTTGTATAAAAAAAAGATTTAGTTCAATTTTACTCTAAATATTTTTCTATATATTCCTACTTAAAAAGAAAAAAATTACTTTCCTGACATTTCGAAAAAAAAAATTCAATTTCCAAATTTTTCTTTACATTTAAATTTTTTCTTCTTTTTTCTTCATTTCTCTCTAAAATAATTTTTGATTCTGGATAATGTGTTGGTGACATCACAAAACTCCAATTTGCTGATGTATAATTTCTGTACCTGCCCCAAACACGAGCTTGTGTTCTCATTTTTCTCTGCAGCTCACATTTACTGAAGCCATGAGGAACAAGGCCCGTCTGTCCATCACAGGCAGCGTCGGGGAGAACGGACGGGTGCTGACGCCCGACTGTCCCAAGGCCGTTCACGCCGGGCCTCCCCTCCGCCAGAGCTCCGGCCTCGCCCTGGTCTCCTCGGAGCTCCCGTGAAAACCAAAAACCTCTCAAGTGCCTTATTCCAATAACAACAGACAAACAAAAAACAATATTCAGAACGCCAACGCAACAACGGGAAACAACCAACAAAGAAACAGGAGTCACTCACCTCCGGTGGGCGGGACTGGACGGAAACCAACGAATCCCACCGTCAGAGGTTAAGAATTGTCGAGACTCGATGATGATTTCTCTCTGAAGTCTGTGGAAACCAGAGGCAGAACTATCTTGATTATTTTTTGTTCGTTTTACTGTGCGGCCACATGGAAGCTTTTCGAATCAAAGCATTGTGGGAATCCACTGGAGCCTCAAACCCTTCACGACTCCAAACACCGAAGAGTTACAGAGGGACATGAAAAATATCATCATGTATGATAAAGACGACAAAGACCAGAAAACTGTAAACTCGAAACTGTGCTTCTTTTTTTGGGATTGCTGTGATTTGGCAAAAACGGAACCACAATCAAGATTGTTTTCAAACTGAAGAGTATTTGCTACACAGACACGAGCTGCGTTCAGGAGACAACAATCTCACTCGATATCAACAAGTGACACTGGGGGGCGCTGTAGCCCGGTGTCGTGACGATATGAGACAGATATTTGTAATAATAATAATAACAAAAATAAAAAATCTATGAATATATGAGCAAAGATAGAAAACTGTGAAAATAAGTAAATATGTATATTCCATGAAAAACTAAATGAAAACTCTAGCTGTACATAGGGACGACTGTAACATGCTTGCTTTTTAAACAGATGTACATAGCAGATACTGTAGTGGACAGACAGACAGTTGTTTTTTGTAAATCATCTTTAAAGAATTTATTCATCGCAATAATGAAGAAGACGATGCCACTTGAAGGAGGAGACGTTTTTTGCAATTTACTACATGTTGAATACGTCACTGTATTATATAGTAGCATTCAAACTCTAAATGTGAAGAGGTATCGACTGCCCAAAATACTCTGATACCTGCTACATACAAATTAATAAATATATTCAACAATGAATGTTAACTAGCTCCACCCCCAATCCTTAAACCACACCCCTCACTGTGCAGACGTAGACCCAGAGAGCTGCTCACGAGTCGAGCTTAATAAATCCAGCTTCTGCAGCCAGAGTCACTATTTTTTTCATTCTCTTCAATCTATTTTTTGTACCGAGAAACTAAAAAGAAACCGTCTGTCTCCTGGTTTTAAATGTCGACAGTCTGAGTACTAGATCTTCTAGAGATCCTTTATTTGTGTGGAGACATGAGTAGGAACCAGTGACTGTAAATACAGATGGACTACGTGTCTCTGATTCCTCCTATTATGAAAAAAAAATAATAATAAAGCCAAAACATCCTGGATGCAGGCGCTGCCATCTTGAACGTAGTGATCGTGGAGTGGAGCCACGGTTTCGAGACACCTGTCAATCATAATGTTTTCCCCTTATAATATTTTACATGTGATGAGAACGACCCAAAATGACAATAAAAAGCATCCTTGGGAAATTCTTAGGAAATGCTTTGATTCATGTCCTATCTGCTAACATGGAGGAGGCGAGGTTTCTAATACACTAGGGGACGATCAAGACGATTAGACTTTACTTTGTGGCTGCGGCATATCGTCCATCTTTACTTACAGTCCACGGTCCAAACAATGGGAAATTTGAAATATGCTGTTTCTCATTTCTCACTAAATGTTTTCTTTCAAGTGTTTGTGATATTTCCAGTAAGAACCGAGCTGATGAAGTTATTGTTTGTTGAACAGTTCGAGCCCTTCCTTATTGAAACACTGTGGATCCTCCGAGGAGGCTGGACACGCTGTAGCAGAAATGTATTTGCTCCAGTCTCACGGACTCAAGTGTCCTCATCTCTTTTGGAAAAATGGACGGACAAACTGCAGGACGCGAGACGCCACGTGTTCGGAGGCACCAGCCAGCGGTGGAGCTGGTAAATGCAACACTCCCAGTTCTCGTTCCCTCACACAAGCTGGTCAGGGAAGTTTGCAGCAGAGAAAAATCAGCTTTTTTTTGTCTTGCCACATCTTAAGAGCTGAAGTGTAACATGGCTTCTTATTTTGGTTCAATTGTACAACTTTATTTTGATCTTTTTTAAGTAAAAACTAATTTCAAATTGCAATGTACAGTGTCATAATTTGACAAAGTGATATGATGACATTATTCTCTCGAGGTCTTTTTAACGTAGCGTGTTCCAGAGGCAACAAGGGTTTGTGAGTTCACACCGACCCTGACGTTTGACCTACGCACCAAAATCTAATGATTTCATTCTTGAGTCCAAGTGAACATTTGCACTAAATTAGAAGAAATTCCATCCACGTGTTTTTAGAGATTAGTCAGCGGTTACAGCGACATTATCATCAGGCTTCAACGCATCAGTATCATAATCTGATGATGTCACAGGGGCCAAGCAGGACAACACTTCAGTTAAATTAAACTTTTAGTTTTCTATGCAGTATCTTTTCCTCCATAAATAACTTTATATTTTCATCTGTGTTTGATTGTCGGAAAAAACTATTGGATAAATTACCAAGAAACTTTGAAGGATGAGGTGTGGGTCAGGGAATGAAACTTTTAAGTTTAGTGTGGCTCCTGATATTTATTCTTTATTTTTGTTGATTTCTCAAGAGAATTGTCTGAATCTTGATTAAGGGGGTAGTGATTTCTCTGTGCGTACAAATTGGAACTGGTGGATTCAATGTGGTTTCATGAGCATGTGCTATATGACAACAAATCAAGCTAGAAAACTGTAACTACCGCCAAAGTTTTTGAGTGGAGGATCGGACGATTTGCACCACTGCAAATAAAGTTGTGTAAATTTAAAAATATACATTAGCCTCAACTCAAGTAGGTTTCCTCCTCTGCTTCTAGCAAGCACTGCCCTCTAGTGGTTTAAAATCATTGTCAATATCAGACGAGACCTGTAGAGAACAACGAAAAAACATTTCACATTCATTTTTTTTTTAAATCATTTTTATTCATTTTAAATTCAATGTTAATTCCATGCTGTGTAAGAATACAGATGGTACTTGTGGCTCCGGTGAGAATATCCAGTAGTACAAATCAGATTCACGTTACACATACTGAACAGAAGGAAGAGAGGAAAGAGAGAGTTGAAACGAGGAAACCTGGAAGAGTCAGGGGAGTAAAGATACAGCAGGCCCCTATTTCCCAAATTATTATTATTATTAATTATTTTAATATAGTGCCAATGCAAAACTGCATTACGTTACAATCAAGAGTGTAGAGCATTCCCCTCCCACGCACACACAAAAATTTTGTCTGCTAAAAAGCCATTACCTTATCTATCTGCCATTAGCAAAAGCGCTACAGCCTCGCAGCACAATACTTGGTCCGGGAGTGGACGAGAACAGATGTCAGAGTGATGCTTTGAAAAAAGGGGGATTTGTTTAAAAAAGATCTATTGACGTGTTGAAGGAGCAGGTGGGGTAACCACAAAGTAAACAGGGCACAGTTCATCCTAAAAGCTTTAACACGTCCCTTTTAAACCTTCCATCACCAATTTATTTCCGCAATTTGCAAAACCGACTGACAGAAGCATGGACGATGAATTGTTCATAAACACACACAGAGGACAGCAAAGTTCTGTCTTTAAATAAACTCTTACACACGTGTGTTACAAATACAGGCAGGCATACTTGGCAACAGTTGATAAAGCAAAGTAAAGCAAAAATAAAAACAGCAAAAATAAAAGGACATTAACCTTAAGGGTACAGAAAGGAGTCATCAAAAAGAAAAGGAAAAAAAAAAAAGGTTAAGCCCCCAGGAGAGGAAATGAAGACCCGAGCGGGTCCTGAGGGAACTGGGAAATGACGTGCATACGAGGAGCAGGTGTGACAGATGGGTAGAAATGGGGGAAAAGGTAGAGAGAGTGTGGGCTGCAGTATAAACCCAGTGGGGTTGGGGACAGGAGCGAGAGGTAGAGGGGAGAAGGGAGGAAGAGGAGAAGGGAGGAAGAGGAGAAGGAGGAGGGCTTCTCTTGTGTGGTTCACTCTTGCTGGGCATCGTCCGCCACATCTTGCAGTGCGTCTTTGTTCTGTTCTCCACCTGAGAAAGACAAAAACACAGATGCTGTCATTATCTGAACATTGCGATGAGACTGGAAGATGTCACAAAAAGAGGAGAAAACTGCAGGAGCTTCCACGAGATCACATTTTCTGAAACCAAAGTCCACTAAGTCCTGGTTTGACTTCATATTCACACTAATGACACTAGATCAAGATCAACACACATCAAGTCATAGACAAAATTACCACATTCTTCAAACTAGTGTTGGAGTTTGTTGCTGAAATAAAGTTTGTGAGTATAAACTGTAAAAATAAAAACATTTCAGCTGTTAAAAAAAAGTATTTTCTGAAACCAAATTAAAAACTTATATCTTCAAAAGTTGCATGAAAGCAACTGGACTTGAGTTTCTTTTCATTTCATACAACAAACTGATCCCAACCTTGTTTCAGGAACTTGGCTTGATAAATTACAAATTAAATATTATCAAAAAGTTGCCAACGTACACATGTACAACTTCAAGATGTTCAATTTTGGATGAGTGAGAACCTGTCATGTGTGTTTGCTTGTTGTTGGAAGTGCTGGGATTGTTTTTTACATTTGAAGGTCTAGACCTCATGGAAAGAGCCTTGAGATCAATTATGTTGCGATCTGACACTATACATATGAATAGTAATTGAATTAAATTAATCATTTAATCTCTCAAAGTCAACAACATGCAGTTGGTGTTTCAGACACAGTAATAATGTCACTAAGGTTTGTGAGAATGTGCACATTTCATACAACAAACTGATCCCAACCCTGCTTCTAGAACTTGGTTTGATAAACTACAAATTAAATCTCATCAAAAAGACTTTCATGTAAAGTGACAGCTTCTTACATACATACAGTGTGAGCTTTTTTATATAAATATATTATATCGATTCAAACTGAAATAAAAGATAACTGGAAAAAAAAAAGATTGGGATCAGCTCAGATGTGTGTTAATAAAATGACCTGCTCATCTACAACACGCAGGCCTGTGACGAAAGTTAATTCAGCCGTGGTCAGATTTACTGAAGGGGTGAAAATGCCTTGTGAACCTGTACGAGTGGTTGCTTGGAAAGGTTACCATAGAGACAGCACAGCCATCCGTGTAATGAAGAATTAAGAGGCACAAATAACAAAGGACGGAGAATCCATCGTGATTATAATAGAAATCGTAACCATGCTCATTAGCGCCACAGCACACTGGGATGCGAGAGAGCCACAGGAGACGGAGCAGCAGCCTTGCATGCTGTTACTGCGGCGTGTCTGTTAACTCACACTTCACTGAGCCACGCTCACACGTTTTCAAACTCTGCCTCACACGGGCATGATCGGCTGCAACACCCCGGGATTGTAAAGCATTTGGATTCTATAAAATGCTACAGAACAACTTTGCTGCTATAGGATGGTAACTTGTAATCAGCTGTTCCAATGAGAGGCAAACAATCTCGCCTGACTTGCCACAAACACAGCACTCGAGTTGTGTGCACTTGTGAGGAAAAAAGGTGGAGGAGGAAAAGATACGGTTCCAGGATGCTTCAGAGGCCGGACTCTGTGCTGTGAGGGCATTAGTGCGGGTGGTGAGACAGGACCGAGGTGGGGAATAGAGCCCAACACAGGAGAGGTGACTTACAAAATACACTTGTGTAATGGAGGAAGAGGGAAGGAGAGGGCTGTCCTTAAGAGTCTACAGAAGAACGAGGGAGAGGAGAAGTTAGAGCAGGGGGGGCTGCTGATTTCAGAGGAATCACTATACTGAGAGGAAAGGTTAGAGAACAGGTTAGAGGGTTATTCTGTTTTCTAGGCAATGCTAATTTCCCCTAAAAACTAATTATTTTATCATATACACATTTCTCAGATGCTGCAACGAGGCCAATCTGCAAATTTGCTAAACAATTTATCTTTAAAATACAAGGAAACCTGTCAAAGCACCAGGGAGCCAGTGATGTAGTCAGTGATAACACAAGTAGACTGAGAAGAAAAGGAATGAGCTCTTTCACCTTCTCTCTGCCCATCAGAGGTCCATAGTGTCAAGTTGTCACGTAGCAACTGCATGATAAGTGTTGAGTCCTTATAGCTCTCCTCGCTCAGATTGTCCAGATCTGCAATTGCAAAATCAAACGCCTCCTTCGCGAGCCTGTCAGACGTGAGGATGCAAAGAAAACAGGTGGGTTATATATACCGTGTTCAAAAAGTGACATTTGTTTTTAAAGGCCTCAAAGACATCTAGAAGCTTCCTGTCTACTTCTAGATCCCTCAGGTCCTAGCTGTTCTTGGTTGAGGCTGAAGGGTTCATAGTGATTGTTCGTACGTTAGCTGTAGCTGATCCAAAACTTTACCACTTATTATCAATCGTTCCTCTTCCATTGAAATACATATCTGTTTTATGCTTCAGCAGTTAGGTCGACTTGTTGGGTTTAATTTGCTTCACAAATAAACTTGTCATGTGGGAGCATCTGTATTATCATTCAATCTGTGTTCAAGTCTGTTGACAGCTGTTGTGATGCAGAGACAGTGAGTTTGAGTATCCACATGGATATAAGCGATCTGTTCGTTTTGAAGATGCCAGTTTTCCGATATTCTTTATCTACATCTTAGTTTCTGACTGGAGCAAACATGACTTAAAGTTGAGAATAAAAATGGCAAAAGGACTTTTTCTGATTCAGTAGACCGCTCAAACCCAGATAGTGTGCCTCGGAATTCAGATCCCCCCCCACGCACTTTACGTTTCCTCTCTATGGTCAAATCAATGTGTTAAATAAATAATTAGTGAATACGTTTACAAACATCACATCCTTTAATGTACAACATGAGTAAACTTACTTGCAAGCACGGTCTGGCGAGTTGAGGATTTCATAATAGAAAACAGAAAAGTTTAGGGCCAATCCCAGACGAATGGGGTGCGTTGAAGCGAGTTCGGTCATGGCGATGTCACTAGCAGCCTTGTACGCTACCAAGCTGTTCTCTGCTGCCTCCTTCCTGTCGTTGCCTGTGGCAAACTCTGCCAGGTACCTGTGGTAATCCCCCTTCCTGAAGGAGAGGGAACAATGTGGTCAGACTGCTGCCTGCTGTCACATATGATCCTTATCAACACATATTGTCACAGTTAAAGAGTCCAGATCACAAATCACATCTGGCAAACGTGCAATTGCATTGACAAATCAGCAGAAGTACACTATATTGCCAAAAGTATTGGGTCACCTGCCCTGACTGGCATACACAAACTTATTTGACATCCCCTTCTTAATCCATAGGGTTTAATATGACGTCGTTCCACCCTTTACAATTATAACAGCTTCAACTCGTCTGGGAAGGCTTTCCACAAGGTTCAGGAGTTTGTTTATGGTTTTTTTTTTTTTTCACCATTCTTCCAGAAGCGTATTTGTGAGGTCACACACTGATGTTGGACAAGAAGGCCTGGCTCAGAGTCTCTTTCATCCCAAGGGTGTTCTATCAGGTTGAGGTCAGGACTCTGTGCAGGCCAGTCAAGTTAATCCACACCAAACTCTCTCATCCATGTCTTTATGGCTATAGAACTGTTCAAAGTAGCAAGCAGTCAATACTAAAATTGTTTTCAGAACTCAACTGCAGAGAAGCTCAATAATACAGGAGGTTTTCTTTCTGTCATATTCATTATAAGCAATGCAAAGTAGAACTGTCATATCAAACTTACATCTACAGCCACACTCAGGTTAGAGCAAGTGCCGTCAGGAGATGTTTGGTTAAGAGTCTGTTAAGAGTCGGCCGGGAAAAATATCTCATGGTGACGTTTCCTCCATTCAAAGTTTTGTGAGGAGCTGACTCATCTATTTATTTATCTAAGAGAGCCACAGTTTCATGCACGGACATGATATCTTTTGTGGCTTGGAGCTGTGTGAGAGATTCGTCTTCCAGGAAGACAATGAGTCTATAAACGCGTAGGCCAGGTTTATTTGAAGGCAAGGAGGAGTGTCGAGTGCTGGCATGCACTGGTTTTCTCCTCTTCAGCAACTCAACCAACACATTTAAAAGATTTTAAAATGGGCCGGGGGGGGGGCTGCTCTAAATTCTGCTGAAACCTCGCAAAATGTAAATCTGAATGGACACTATGATTGAAAATTATCAAAAAAACGTTTGACCGAGGTTTAAAGATTTTTGTAGATGAACTCAAACATGACTCATAGAAGTCGAGAGTGTGATTCCACCTAGCAACCGTGTTTTAGTTCATGTTGCTCAGCAAAGAGCAACATTTGGTTACTGAGTTAGAAAAAACTGCACTGCAGGTTTGACAGGACCAAGCTTAAATACATCAAATACAAACTTGTTAAAGTCGATCACAAGGATTTAGAAGTGGTGAGATTCACAGCATGATTGATTCTACAAACAATTATCAAAAAACTTACATTTTGTAGTAGAAAACCTTAGAATCTCCACTTGACGCAGCCAAGATGAGGTGCTTGTCCAGTACATCCAGAATGTCGTTGCAGATTTCCTTCAGCTCTTTCTCGATCTGCAGAACAAAAAACACGACTGTCAATGATCTGCGTGGTCACATCATCACTATTACAGGTTCTGGATTTAAATATTCCTTCAATCTAAAGATCATAAGCCGTTATCGTGACATTACGAGGGCAGTGTTTCCCATTAGTTATCCTGACTGTGGCAGCTCACATTCTAATTTCTCCTGCCACACTACTTATAATGAAATGACAGATCTAATAAGCTCAATCAATTACTTTAGACACCTCATGATTTTTTCTGGTTTGTCAGAGACACAGTTCCGACATTTCTCAGTCTCATATTAAAAATCCCTTGAAATTAAAGGACCCAATAAATATTCCAAAAATGTATTGTGAGAAAGTGGATTCTTTCAGATGCTGCTAAACGTGGGCAGAAATTCTCACTGAGTAAAGTTACAAAAACAAAGATTTCACGCATTGGAATGTGTGTGAAATCCATTCTACATAAATTCATAAAATCCCCCTGCTGATAAATAGGTCTCCACATTGAGTCATGACAAGAGACACGGCATCAGGTGATGAGAAGAAGGAAGCGAAACTTTCTGAGTCTGACGTCGAGGTGTTTGTTAGGGAGGTGGAGGTGAAGAGAGAATTTATGTGACAGCAGTGATGTCACTAATAAAGAAAATACACTGCTGCAAATACAGTGAGGATGACAGAGAGAACGGAGCCCGAATTAAAAAAAGATCCAATTCTATAATGGCTTCACACTGTCAGACTGTGAGGGAACTTGTTATACTGCCTGTTTGTGTTTAAATAATCCAAAACTGTAGGGTTATTAAATTCAGAGACAGCTGTGATAGAATTTAACATAATTATGATGATATGCTGATATGTTTGTACTGCGACGGTTCGGTTCCGTCGGTTGATCTAATGCTGGACTCAGTTAAGCACAAAGATCTAAGATCACAGATCTATAGAATCTATATGAGCTGATTAGTCATCGCTGAACCTTTGTTTCCTCCTCATCCTTCCATTCACATGCATCCATCACCAGCACGAGTGTCACTGCAGTATTTATATATTTAGAGCAATCAGACTGATTACTTCACACATCAGTGGATCCTAACCTCCACTCTGGGATAATATTCAGAAATGGAAGTTTGAAAGTAAATACTTTTTCTTTATTTTGCTGAGTGATCTCCAGCGCGCTCTGTGCTCCTGATGGCACAGTCAAGTTCACTGCAGCCATTATACAACACTTGTCCTGGATAAACACGCAGTGTTACAAGATATTATTAAAACTATTAATGACTTGGTTCAGCAACTCTGCAACAAAATTAATTGAACTGAATGAAGAAATGATAAATAAATCAAATAAATGATAAGAAAAAAAACTACATTCAAGCAACAAAACAACATAATTGAGAAACTACCTGTTTCCACAGACTAATTTCGCTTCACGACATCTCACCACCTCGGATTATCACCCGGACAATATCAGGACAATCTGCTATAGAATTTCAAAATAAAAGCCCTTGGAAATATCATATTTTCACTGCTTTGGCTGTGGCAACAGAGAAGGAGATTCTTAACAAAATAGGGATGAAAAAAAAAGATGGCAGTGAGTAACTGCACCACAAGAAAATCATTATTTTATATTGCCATTATCCACATTCGCTGTATATTTCACCAGTGTTTTTTAATCTGAAAAAAGATACGATTGTTTTTGCAAACAGAAACATGTCAAAATGCTGCATACACATCCAATTTTTTATTGATCAAACCTTTGTAGCTGAGAACCATTTTAAGATTTAAACACAATCCCTCACTGCTCACAACCTGTGAACGTAAACAATTAATATATTTGGGTTTATATAAATGACTTACTGTTTTTCCATATTCTTTGGCCAACTTTATATTCGCTTCCGAGGATTCTTTATGTTCAATGCTGCTGATTATCCTCCAGGAGGCTCTTCTGGCTCCAATCACGTTCTTGTACGCTACCGACAGTAGGTTCCTCTCCTCCACCGACAGTTCAACGTCCATACTGGCAATTTTCTTCATCGACTCCACCATTTCTGAGACACAGGGAGAAAACAAATGACATTGGTGATGGGTTTCTCAAGTTCCCCTGTACAAGAAGTATATGTGAAGACATCTTGTTCTGAGCTGTATTGATTTACGAAATATGGAGGAAAATATATCTTTTACAAATAATTCTAAATGTTTTTCTGCCTATATAAAACAAACTTAAATTCAGTTGCTCTTCAATGGTCAAAAACCACAAGATTGAGTGAGAAATGTCTTGGAACTAACTTTTCTTTGTTCTTCAGTGGCATTGTCAGGTTGGGTTGTATAATGGCAGCAATTATGTCCTTGCAATTAGAGTGAAAAATAAATGTTCAATAATTATTGTCTATTTCTTAACACAGATCCAGAGAAACAGATTTTTTAAGTCATATTCTATCTTCAAACAAGATCCCTCAGTTGTCCTGGGGAGGCACAAATGGCAAAACTGGCAAAACAAACAAAACCATATGCATGGTTCAATACCACCGGAAATTAAGTATGAATATATATTTCTTTAATTTGGGTGAAATATGTAAACGTCTCTTTTCCACAAAAGTATTAATAGAAAATAATCTTTATGGAAAATAATCTTCTCACTTTAACAAAGACTTTAAACCATGCTGGGGCACTGCCCAAGTGTGTGTTCCCTCCCAGGATTCTCTGCTCTATTCTAGTGATCATTTTCCAGGACAGTTTCAGTGATGATCTAGCTGACATTACAGACTGGGATTGCACCATATCAACTAATATGTTCCTCTATTTGGAAGGCTGGTGTGCCTCTCCTATATTTCAATCCCTAATTTAAGGACAAGTATATAGTACGGATATATGAATAACCATTAGAAGTTTTCATGTCACTACTTCACAAACATCTACTCTCACCATCTCATTTCTCTTCCTGTGTGATATTTTTTTCAGCTGAACTTTAGTTTGCTTCTGAATGGGGCTTGCCAGAAAAGGTGTGAGAACCACTGAGCTTCTCACACCTACTGTGAGCTACCACCATGTCATGTTACCGTATCAGTGCAGCATTGCGTTTGAAAACACAAAACCAGAAAAGTATTTTTTGAAAAAGTAGTGTTAGCCATGATGAAGCTGGTCTACGACTCACTAAATGTTTGCGTCCCATTTACTGTTTTCAACTGAGCCAAACATGTTGACCATTTTAACCAACCGTTTAAGTTGCTAATCTCTAAACCAAACATCTACCAGCAGTGACTAATGTTTACATTGAAAGGATGATGTAACTTGCATAATTCAGAGTTTCAGTACCTTGTGTTGTGGTGTCATCCACCCTTCATGTTCTACCATGTGACATGACTTGGGGCCATGTTCATGGCTTTTCCTACCATTCCTAACATACCCAGGAGCAGCCTAATCAAAACACTCTCATCCCTAAACTATTATGTGGACGGTAACCTGACCCTCAGTTTAACTTGGCTCTTTCAAGTGTTAATGGTCAGAGGTCTAAATGGAGGTCTGATTGATGGCCTGTTAGTAAATTCTTAACTAAAAGCAAAACTGGAGAATGTTAAATAATTTTCCAAGAGAGATTTAGCTTTTTCTTAATTTTTTCGAAATACGATTAGAAAATCGGACAATTGCTTTCCGTGTGTAGGACACCTGCCTTCAAACAGGGCGGGGTGAATCCGCCAACGAGGAAACAGTGAGAAATTAGATTATAGACTATATGCTGGGAGGAAATGGCAAAAAAAATAATTTAGCACTCAGCACTGATGGTGATTCCCCGTCTAGTGACATTAAACAGAGACGGCACGGAGCCTCTTTAACCAAAGGGTGCAGTTCAAGAAGACTTTGCAGGAAAATAAACACCTAGATAAAGTGGGTTTGTAATTGTCAGAACAAAAGTTGTCCACCACTAACACCTATCAAGCTAAGCCTTCTCGCCTGGAGGCAAGAATCCTCAAGCAGCTTTTAACTTCACAGACAGGGTGTTATCTGTTGAAGCAGATAGCAGGGTTCTATGCAGCATGATGGTGAAACCTGATACTCAGTGGTTTACACGCCAGGAGGAGCACTATGCTGCTTTGATCACTTTACCCTCCACCCAGACCTGCACTCCAATACACTCCATGACCTCCCTGTTCTTTTTGAGCATTTTCTCAACATGTCAAGCTCCACAGATCCTATGAACTGATCAATGACATTAAATTCAATTTAAGTGATCCCAACGCAGGTGCATAGTGGTCCTTGCCTCTTCTAAGCAGCGGGATACAAGTTAAAGTCAATTTAAATAAATTATGTCAAATATAAATACTGCAGAGCTGAAATCAGCTGACGAATTATGACCTGTGGTGGGTTTTTAAACAGTAAAATAACTTTTATTTCGTTTATTAAGAGCATCACAATGAAGTTTCCCACCGGCTGAAATTAGTTGGACCAACTAAGCATTGCCCTCCCCTACTTCTCGGTTTCTGTAGGTATTCTTTAGAGAAACATACCAACCTGAAGGGTTAGTATACACAATTAGTAGCATGTAAAACACGGAGGAAAAGGAAGTTTGCAATCAATGTTGGAAGGTGCAGCTCAGCTAACTCACAATGTTAGGGGATGTATGGTTCTGTGGCACGATAGAACCACACTGAACCTTGTTGGGGATATTTAGGATAACAATTCTTCAACTCCTAATTGGTGCATATATTCATGTGTTCAAGCATACATGTATTGACCCCTGTGGTTTTCCATAGAATGGCTCCTCCGTTGTAAGAGCCAAGCACTGCAGGCTTTTGGAGGATATTCATTTAAAATGATCAGAAACAAAATCATAAAATGTATTAATAGATCTTCTATCTTGAAAAAAATTCATTATATTTACAATATATAAAATTAAATCCATCCCCGCGCAGGCGCATAGCGGTCCTGGCCTCTTTAAAGCAGCAGGGTACAAGTTAAACTCAATTTAAATTAATTATAGAAAATATAAACACTGCAGAGTTTACTTGAATGAAGTCAGCTGATGAATTGTGGCCTGTGGTGGGTTTTTAAAAAGCAAAATTCATTTTATTCGTTTTATTACGAACATGACAGTGAAGTTTCCTACGGGCTGAAAACTAGTTGGACCAGCTAGCATGGTCCTCCCCTGCTGAACACATGATGATAGCATTAGCCGATGCTAGGTTTTCGCTTAAAATCCCCGCAGCTCTTTGTTGAGATTTATCCTGGATGTGTCGGGTGCTTGCTCCCGATTCCGCGCGGACACAGTGCGTGTTTCACGGCGTGCGTGTGTTCGTTTGCTGGGCTGTATTCGAACTGAGTTTGGCGTGACGCGTGTCGGAGCTGAGGAGAGCTAGCCCGATAGTTAGCAAACCACACGGGCTGCTAACTAACGCTAGCGGGGGGAGGGAGGGAGGGTGGGTGGTGGTGGGGGGGGACTAGCTTAGCTCACCGCGTAATGTAAACGGGTCACCAGAAACCGAAGCGCCCGACAATTACGTCCATCCCCGCGGTTCTTCCACAGGCAGGCGGACGCGGTGAAATAAACCCGGCAAGCGGCTCGTTCGGCTGGAGAAGACTCCGCCATTTTGTCTGCTCGCACCAGACACTTCCAAGAACCGCTTTACCTGCGCCCCGCAGCCGCCTGCGCGAGGGAGGCAGAGGGGGGAGGACAGCGAGACCAGGAGGCTCCGCTCCGACCAGGATCTGAGAGGCGGCTTACCGTCGTATCTCTCGGCTTGTTCGGCGAGTTTGGCCTTGTACACATATTCTTGTCCGTCCGCCATGGTAGTCGGCTGCTGTTCGTAGCGTCCCGGTGGGAAACAGGAAGGAAGGAAGGTCTACGGCTGCTCGGCGGATCGGCGACTGCACCGCTGCTCCGCTGAATCGAAGACCCACCGGCGGCGGGGGCGTGAAGATGGGGGGCGCTGCTCCATCCGGGAACGGCACGCAGTTGGTGCTCGTGGACACGCCCTCCCGACCAGTCCCGAAAACCAGACACAAGACCGCACCAAACCCGCCTGACACAGTCACAAATTCAGCGCCAAAACCGGGCATTTTATGTGATAAGCCCATAATATTTTTTTTATTGTGTTCCATTTGAGCTACTGTTCAATTCGGCATACATATAAACCCCGGCCCGGCACTTTTATTTATATTTCAGAATGATGAAAACACGGATTTATGGTTGGCTCATGTCACAGTTGATTTTATAAAATCTACTTAAAACCAAACCTCATAAGCGTTTTATGTATTTGTGTTAATTGTGAGCGTAAAGCTATAGTTTTAATAAAGATCGTATACTTTAATTTGATTTGAGTTTAAAAACCCTGATGTCTTCATTGGTTTAGTGGGTTGATTAATAAAGTGAAAATCGCAATCACTCCTTAAAGGTAAAAAAAATAAATTCCAGTAAATATCTGAATTAAAAAAAATAGATTTAAAGGAGATGTATATGTATTTTTTGGTGATAAACTACTTAAAATATCTTTTATTTGGTTTATTACAAACATCACAGCAGTGTTTCCCACTGGCTGAAACTAGTCGGACCATCATGTTCCTCCCCTGCTTCTTAATTTCTGCTTGCCAGCATTCTTTAGAGACATACTAACCTGAAGGGTTAGTCTTACACAACTAGTAGCATATAGAACATGGAGGAAGAAAAAACATTTTCTGAAAAGGAAGTTGGTGGGAAGATATTCATTTAAAATTATCCAGAAGGAAAACTAGTTCGGTCTTGTCAAGGTTAATTTTCAGGTGGTGTACGGATATTCACTGAGAGGTGTCAGTCAGACAGGCAGAGATTCGTGCTGCTGCCTGTGTTTCAGATTGGGGAAAACAGAGGATTAGTTGGGTATCATCTGGGTAGTTGTGGTAAGAAAAGCCATGTGAGTGAACGACAGATCTGAGAGAGTCGGTGTACAGAGAAAAGAGGAGAGGACCAAGGACAGAACCTTGAGGGACCCCAGTAGTGAGAGGACAAGGTTCTGATACAGAACCTCTCCAAGTCACCCGGTAAGTGCGGCCATTGAGGTAGGATGAGAGCAGAGCCTGAGACACAGAGATGCTGAAGGGAGGAAATAAGGATCTGGTGGTTAACTGTGTCAAATGCAGCAGAAAGGTCTAGAAGGATGAGGACAGAGGAGAGAGAGGCTGCTCTAGCAGTGTGAGATTGATCAGAGACAGCAAGGAGGGCAGTCTCAGTTGAGTGGCCCGCCTTAAAACCAGACTGGTGAGGAACAAGAAGATCGTTATGGTGAAGATAGGAAGAGACTTGATTAAAGATAGCACGCTCAAGTGCTTTGGAAAGAAAAGGAAGAAGAGAAACAGGTCTGCATGTTAGTAGTAGGGTTTACCGTAGAAATGGGGAGGGACCCGTACGAGAATGCCGCAGTCACAAAGTAGACTTCCCCTCCTACAGCGCATAACACCTGATGACCACCTTGCCCTTTTTCTTCTCAGTTTCTATAGGTATCCTTTAGAGACGTGCATAAAGACAGATTAGTTTCACACAACTAGTTGCATATAGAACCAGGAGATTGACCCCTGTGAATTTTCATGGACTCCCTCCTCCATTGTAAGAGCCAAGCAATGCAGGCTTTGGGAAGATATT